CTTTAATTTATTGTATGATACATAAACTATGTTGACAATACCAAGGTAAATGAAGAAAAGATATTTTAAAAAAAAAACTAGCACACATTTCTTACAAATAACAAACTCAATTTTCTTAACACGCGTGAATTATTTAACTAATTAACTCATTTAAAACTAGAGGGAGTATAAGTTAAATTATTATTCTTTGAAAGCTTTATTTTGGGATGATTTTATAAAGTGTTTGGTTATGTAAAATGTTCAGTTTCATATGATTACATATAAGATTTTTATCGTTATTTCTGTCAGGTAAGACTGAATCCCTCTTAACGTTATAAGAACACGTAGAACGTCTTCATGATCGATATTGACAAGGTAACCTGTCAACATTGTTATTCGTTCGTCAAACATATTGTCATGGTTGAACATTCCTAAGGTTTGTTAGGACTGATAACTTATTATTAGTTAGCTGAATCATACAAATTAATCATAAAAAGATTATTTCATTTTAAAAAATAATCAAGCTTTTAGCTACGCGTGGCATATCATTGCTTAACGTGAACACATTGCCTATAGCACAAATCGATGTTGATGTGTGTGTGTGTGTGTGTGTGTGTGTGTGTGTGTGTGTGTGTTTCATTCTCATAAAAAAAGAAAGGACACCGGGAGGAAGCTAAGCTTAATGCGTGACTAACTATGATCATGAATATTTATTATTATATATTCAAAATCCAGAAATTCATTATTCATTAATAATGGTAGAAGCACGAGCTTATGAATGAAAAGGTTTCAGTTCAAAATCTAGAAATCAAATCTCAAGGACACGTCCCACCAAACCAGTTTTGATCATTAATATCCATCGAATGTATGCAAAAAACAATATCTTTCTTTCTTCATAAAGCTCAACAATGCGGTAGTTCCTGCCTAATTTCTTCGGTTTAGATTTAACTCTCACCTTCCCTTCTCTCTCAATTTGGATTAATTGTCCGATGACTTATTTATAAATATATGTCAAATAAATTCTAATCATTTTGATCATCTAAAGAAATAAATAGATCGCAATAATCAGGTTGATGAGAGGATATATTTTTAAATGATCTCAATAATTATATTTTTTAAAAATTGAATTATTTTTTATTTAATGTAATTGATGAAAATTAATGCATTTATATATCCTCAATAAAACAAAATCGAAATGGTTTAAATGAATTCCTCTACCTAGCTATACACATACTAGGTCAAATAGTAACATTAAAAAAAAGAAAAGCTAGGCATGCGAATAAACCCCCAAAAACAAATGAAGAAAAGTATGTGAGAAACTTCATTTGATTGTTTAGTGCAAAATTTTGGGTAAAAGCATCCGACTAATTAGGTCAAGTAAAAGGCCAAACCTAATGAAAATTTGGTGTGAACAGAATTGTCCCTGTTTTTCGATCATATTCTATTTGAAAATAACTCCTTTATTTATTGGGGAAATATATATACACGTGTCTAGGCTATTTATTTATTTGTATTTTATTTGCGACGTACTCATGAGAAAAGGAGACTTTTTTTAACATCAATTTAGGAGTCAATTTTTGGGGGCAGAGAGTGTAACAAAATAAAATATTGTGAAATGTTGCAAAAATTAATAACCCTACATATTTACTATTCGAGGAAAGTCTTTACAACATAGCACTGTTTCTCACATGCAACATATTCCTCTGAAGTCATATATAGTACTCTATCACAACTTTTATTATGTAGGAGACGAAAAAATAAGATAATTTCTTAAACTCTTTACATATACTAATTGACATGTCTTATTTGTAGTGTTCATATTAAATCCATGAAATTATTTGAAGGATTCTTCCATGAGTACACCCCACGCACACACAAAATTTACAATTAAATAATTTAAATGATGCACTGTGGATAAAGATGGGCACAGATTCATATAACGACCGGAGTTGGCTTAGAGAGAGAGAGAGAGAGAGACGTGCTTTGACCATATGCCATGACATTCCTTCATTTGGAAGAGAAGCACCTTCTCTTTTTTACATATTTAATTAGGGAAATTATTTTTTAAAAAATCCTCTTTAGTTTGGTGTTTCATATACTGTGAATCCAAGAACACTGCATTTTCTGTGAAAAAAACATAATTTTTAATTTTTACATTTTACTTGCATTTTACTATTAATTTTTATATTTTTTTAATATTTTAAATTTTTACACTTTTATTTTTTATTATTTTAAGTCTTTTCAGAGTTTCTATATTTTGTATAGAGAAATCTAAAGCAATGAAAAAAGTGCAGGGACTTAAAATATAAAAAAAATACAAAGATCAATAGTAAAATACAAGTAAATGCAGGGATCAAAAATTATATTTTTTCTTTTTTTAACTTATTTTTTGCCAAAAAATGATCTGATAGCTTTATCCATACTTATATAAAATAAAAATCAAACTAATTCTTTCAGGAGTTAATTCTTTTAAATTAACATTTTGTGCAAATATATTGTTTTATGTTTAGTAGTAATTGTAATGTCATAATTGAAAAAATATAGGACTCTTCTAGAGATATAGTTTAAGGTATACATCGTCATTTTACATTCTTTTTATATAATTATCCATTATTCATAACTGAGCTAGGTAAGACTATAATAGTGGTAAAGTTCTCTTAATGAGTATTGACACATGCATGCTCAAAACTTGAACTTGATGTCACTGTCTATGTTAACACAACCTTTTAGTTGAATTACATGCTCATTAGTTTATCATTCTGCATTTATACTAATGTCAATGTCGAGTAGTTAGATGGGATGGGCTGAATTTAAGAAGAAAAAACTTCTTATTTCTTTCGTTCAAAACTATAAAGCATTTTTAATTGAATTTTACTTTTAATAACGTAGTTATTTACTTTTAAATTAGTCATATTTTTTATATTTATCTCTATTAAATACCCTATAATAAATATAAAGTTATTTATTAATAGGAATACTTTTAAAAAAATGACAATAATTACATCTCAAAAAAAAAAATACTTTACATTTTTTAACATTCAACTTCTTAAAAAATACTATACAGTTTTTAACAGAGCGAGTAAACATTAATTCACACATTGTATATTATATACACATAGATTTACTTAATTATTAGCTAGGGAATTGCGTGTCCGTGTGACCGAAGTTATATCATGTACTAGATTGTTTTAGGGTGCCATATCTGTGGCAAAGGATGAGTTAATTAGGCAATTATGTTATATGGCATATTTGAAGTGAAAAGAATAATCAATTCAGCCTAATAATCCAGAAATGATTAGTCCTTATTGTACTATAACCAATTCTTGATCGATTTACTTGAATTTCAATTAATTTTATTAATACGAAGGTTTGATTTGAAGGTGCTACTTGAATTAAGATTCATGCATGTCAACTAATCACCATCACCCGTAAAGTTTGCTTGATATTGATAACTAGTGACACGCGCTATAATTTGTCATTTTTATTAGTTTTACGTCCGAATTTGTCCCACAAAGAAAGGGGAACTTTATGTGTTGCGTTTTGCATTGGGATTTCTTAAACATCAAGGAAGCTCAAACATACATAATTACAAAAAACATCAAGTGAGTAATTACCATGAATTGTCGTTCGGTGAATTGAAACTAGGTAAACAAAAAAACAAAAAACTATATAAGGGCAGCGTGCACCCTGATGAAACGTTGTCTCTATTTTTTTTTTTTTATGAAACGTTATCTCAAAAAAAAAATGGGAATCAAATTCTGTCTTCAATGTGAGGATCTTGTTATTGTAATTGGATAACGTGTAAACATTTCTTGAAGGTATTTTTTAAGTATAGAAATACGCCTGATTTTGATGAGTCCCTCAAACCCAACTCGTTTAATTTTTTTAATCACCAAAAACAAAAACGGTGATGAATCTAAATTGTCAAGAGGAGGGTAAATGGATAATAAAATAAGTAATTTTTTTAGTTGTTAATTGTTATGGGCTAACAAGGGCTATTAGCTAATTTAGCTTAGCTATGCGAAGAGTTCAAATCAAAGATGATCTTTGTTTCGTTCCAAAACGACACAGACAACGGTGATTACTTCCACGTGGCATCACCGCATTAAATTCCAGTCAAACCCAGCCTGCCAGGTGTGAACATTAATCTGAAAAAGGGCGGCAGCCCCCACTGCATAACTTCGTTATCTACTGCCGAGGGACAATTACGTCCCATCATCCAAACTCTACGGAAATTACATTAAGAGACCTTAGAAATGATTTATTATCCTTAGTACCAAAATTCATTATCTAAATATTCAGCATAAGTTTTTTATAAAAATTGACAACTATATTTTAGAAACTATAACATCAAGGTTATTTAATTTTTCAGAAATTGTAACTGTAAGAGTAATCTTACACCATTAATTAATAAGTAGTCATATACTTAGAGAAAATATATACAAAAATGTATGATTGTGTGTGTGTGTAAGAGGTTTTTTTTTTTCTTTTTTTATACTCCTCTTCTCTTTCTACTTATTTATCTCCAAGCATATGATCTATAATCACCTTTGTGGTGATAATAAATTTCGATAAAATAATAATTTTCTAAAAAACTAATAAGAAATCCTTAAAATTTGATCGCAATTCATATATTCTGAAAATGCAATAGTGTACTTTTGAATTTGTATCAAGTCTGGGTTTTTAATTTTTTTATACATTAATTAATACAGTATTTCTTTTTTATTTTAGAAAAATTAATACAGTGTTTCTATTGTATATGTGCTTGCAGTTCTTATTATTTCTTCCCAGAAATCAAATATCAAAAAGGAGAATTCTATTAGAAAGGTGGCGTGCCTCGTGCATGCATGGTAAAAAGAAGGGTTGTGCTTGTGCTTGGTGAGTTCTATTTTAATGGCGATGGTTCACGTTTGATCTCTCTAACCCACCTTATATAACCGTTTTGTTTCTAAGAAAATCATCAAAAGGGTCTTCAGGAATTGACGAAACAAATCCTGGGTAGATCTTCTTTTTCTCTTTGAAGAAGCGGTATTTACATATGCTTGCTAACGGTGGCGCACCATCGAGGATCAGGCGAGTTCGTGAGATTCACGGCAGAACAAGGCGGCGGCGAGGGAAATACTGACCACCGGCAGTCGCAGTCGGTACGATTCAACGAAGCTGAAGAGTTGGCAATAACGACGACAACGGCGGAACCCGTGGAGCCTGTGGTGTCAGGGTATGGCAGAGCCGGAGAGTTGTCGGCAATGGTTTCGGCGCTGACGCATGTGGTGGCGTCAGGTTCTTCTGGACAGAGAGACACTAATGAATGGATCCAAGGAATCAGTGGGTTTCCTGTCATGTCATCTTTTGGCCATGTTTCATCTCCTCGTTTGTCTCCTTCTTCCTCTTCCTCACGTACAGTTATGGGCTCTGCCTCTGGTTCATGGGTGCGTCAGAAAAGAGGCCGACAAGAAGAAGAAGAAGCCGCATACAAAGCAGCCATTGGTGACTTCGCTGCACCATTACAGAACGAGTCGGCATTATCATCAGGTGCAATTTACTTGCTTTACTCTCACTTCAATCTAATCAACCAAAACAAATGGTTATGAGTGAACCTACCTGCATTTTGATATTATGATGTGAACAAGTGAATAGTTCAATATAAGTTATATTGCATGTATCAGACAGATCTTTTTGTTCTGAATAATGTGTCGACAGATTTTGAACGAACTTAATGCTATGGCATTTTCTAAGTACAATGAATCTGTATGAGCGACTTAATGGCATTTTCTAAGCATAAAGATTATGTATGTGTGAGTTATCTTTGTGTCTGATTAGCAGTGACTGAGGTGGAAGCTTCGAATATCGCTAATACTGATGGGGCGGCGGCGGCGGCTGCCGTGGCGTTACCGGTGATGCCATCAGGTGAAATTGGTTCGTTTGAAGAAACAGGGGAAAGGAGGAGGAGGTACAGAGGAGTGAGGCAGAGGCCGTGGGGTAAGTGGGCGGCGGAGATTCGCGATCCCCACAAGGCAGCGAGGGTTTGGCTTGGCACGTTCGACACGGCGGAGGCGGCCGCCAGAGCTTATGACGAAGCCGCATTGAGGTTCAGAGGCAGCAGAGCCAAACTAAACTTTCCGGAAAATGTCAGAGCAGTTCCTGTGCCCGTTCAAAATGTTCCGGCCACCAGCCAAGTTCTCCAGCAGTACCCGGCGGCGCTTCCGTTCATGCAGGTTCCGTTTTTTCAGGGACCCTCTGATTCGGTCAGAGACTTTTGGAATTACTCCCAGCTGCTACAGAGCTCCGGCGACTTCCAAGGTCAAATGCAGCCTCAGCCGCCGCAGCAGATACCCCCGGGTTTGGTACAGCAATGGCTGCATAATTCTCAATTGAATGTTCTTCAATCGTCTTCTTCGTTGTTATCGCCAGCATCTTTGTCGTCTTCTTCATCTCCCACGGTATTTTCGCCTTCTAGTCAGTCGTCGTCTGCTTCATTCCCCCTGCTTTCTAATCAGCAAATGGGCTATTTCCGACCACCGGGAAACCAGACTCACGGCGGGGCCATATCATATTTTCCGGCGTCAACATGGTCAGAAACCATTAACTTTCCTCCGCCGTCGTCTAGGTGAAGAGAAATTTTGAAGTAGATTCGGTCCGAAAATAATTTGTTGACTAAATTAACTATATATATATATATATATATATATATATATAAACATATACTTATTGGTCTCCATATGTTTATATTCTTTTTATAGTTTATTCGGTCTATACAAATTCTCAACAACAGATCTACTTAAAAATCTCTTTTTATTCAAATATGTTATTTGTTTTTTTTTTTTCTTTCACATACATTGTATTGCAAAGAGAACAGGTTATGTTAATTTTTTCTTTCATTTTATTGTTTCTTTTAAAGGGTAAAGAATATGCTGATTCTGCATGTAGTTTATGGGTTTAATTCTTATGTGTTAGTACTTTAGGGTAAATTAAAGGAAGATAGAGGATAAATAGAAAAGAGATAAAGCTAGAGCAGCAATCAGCCTTCAAGGTAGGCGTAGTTTATTCTTAATTCTTGATAGATTCGATATTAAACAAGATTCTTTTAATGATTCGAAGAATGATGTAGAAACCAATAGTTTCCCATAAACTGGAAGCAGATTAAGGGAAAAGATTGTATCACCTTGTTATTTCATACGTATTCTGCACGCGGTTGTTAAATTTGTGATAAGCATCGCAGATCTAATTATTAATATTATACATTTTGGGTCATAATGGCCACGTTCAATAGCATCCAAAATGAAAAAAGTTAATCTCTAATCGAACGAAGTTGGATTGGTTTAGAGATAGAATTAAAAATAGAATATAGGATTACACCTACCTTCACACGTGATATCTTATTGCTGTTTTGTTAATCGGATAGAAGTAAAACACGTATATCATTTGAAGTTTCTTTTCACTACACGTTCAGACCAGAAAGAAAGAAAGGAAAAAATAAAAATTGTGATACAGATGTGGGCCGATATCTCCCCTTGACCCCTTCTTTCGTTCTTTTTTTTTTTTTTGTTTTTTTTTTTGGGTAGAATCCCCTTCTTTCATTCTAATAGTGATATAGATGCAGGCCTTTGTATTCAAAGAAAATTTATAAAAATAGTTGTAGATAGTTTATTATAAAGGGGGGGGAAGTTTCACATTGATAATGAAATTTGAGCCAATGATTTTATGGGTTATGAACAAAATCCTCTCATTCATCATTCATGAACAAAGAATATATCTCTTTTCAGGGCGACTCTTTTCTTCCCTCCCCACTAAGTCTCTATTTCACCCAGATTTCAGAGCTTGTGAAGTGGCAACCATTGAATCAAGAGTTTGAAATTTTCTTATAAGAAAACGTTGGAGACCATTTACAAAAACGTGCTCGATCTGTACAGGTGAAGTATGATTTGAACCACTGACTGCTGAATAAAGTAATATGCGCCATGCCTAACTTTCATATCTTTGTCGGCGGAAATCATATTTGGATCGTACTATGTATTTACTTTTGTTAATAAAAAAAAGTCAAATACTACAATGTGACTTTATATTATTGACTTCAAATGCTACAATGGACATATTCCTGAGACAATTCCCCCTGCTCTCGTCAGTTGTCCCACAGATTTATCATGTTCTGCACTCTTCACATTTTTTCTGGGAAACAAAAAGTCTTGACATTGATCTCACCCATTATCGCTAGATGCATTTGGGCTTACCTCATATTTGGGCCCACATATACAGCTAGGATTTGGGCCACACTATTTCTCATCTCCATCCATGCGAATCCACCATCCTCTTCTCTCGACTCTAGAGCTGAAAAAACGGGCCGAGCTTATCGAGCTAGCTCGTTTAAGCCGTAAAACAATAGGGCCGGGCTTATAAATAGGACTTCAAAATAATAAATTGAGCTTAAACGGGCTAGCTCATTTAAACCCGTTTAATCTAGGGCTTAAATGTGCCAGCCTTGCAGGGCCAAGGGCCAACCCATTTAAGCCCGCATATGTATATTTTTTTAATTAATTTTCATAATTTTTACTCTTTTTATATTTAAAAAAAATTAAATTAAATCTTACTCCACATCACATATCAGTTCTTATTTACTGAGGATGAAAGGCAAAAAAAAATAGAAAAAATAGAAATGAAGAATCACTAATCAAAAATTATATCAGTAAGGATCACTTGTTGTCAAAATCTGAGTGAATACTTGTAGATTCAAGTTAGCCTTTATTAATAAGTATTCATTTAGGTTTTAATAACAACTCATTTTAAATTAATAATAGTTCATTATAGCTTATTTTTCATTTAGGTTTTAACAACAATTGATTCTTAATTGATATAAATTTCATACAGAAATCCTTGGCTGCTATTTTTTTAAAAAAATATAACCTTAAATCCCCTAATTCATCTAGATCCATGATAATGATTTATTCAGTTCAACATTTACTCTTTTAATTTTGATTGGGTGTTTGTCGGCTTAGCTGATCTATTGCTTATTGTATTGCTATTATTTTATTTGTGTTTTTAGTTCATTTAGATGTTATTTAGTTTTTTTTTTTATCTTTTTTGATTGGGTATTATATTAGAATGAAATAATTTTTTATTTGATAAAAAATTAAAAAAATAAAAATAGTTAAAAGGGCCTAAAGCCCATAGGGTCGGCCCTAAGCCCGCTATGTCAAGGGCCGGGCTTCGAATATCAGGGTCTTAAATAAAACTCGAGCTTAAAAAGACTTACCCTTTTAGGCTCGAGCCCTTCAAAGGCTGGCCCTATAGGGTTGAGCTGGCCCTTTTTGCCAGCTCTACTTAACTCCCTAGTCTCTACTATGAGTTGTAGTGATAAATAAGGGAGCACATGCAGAGCTCATCAGGGGTGACTTTTAAAACAATTTGAACTATCTAAACTTAACTATTTTTTATTTTTTTATTTTTTAAAACAAAAATTTATAAAATTTTAAATAAATATATTTATTATTAACATGTATCATTCATATTTAATTAGATCAATCTAAATTTAATATTAATTTTTTTATATTTTTTTAATAAATTGATGATATAGATTTAATCTGAACTATTTTGAATTTGACAACATAACAAGTTAAAAATTTTGAATCTAAACAATATAAACTAAATTTGTATGGTTAATTTATCAAAAATTATAAAAGAATTAATATTAAATTTGAACTTACTTGATTAAATATGAATGATACATGTTAATAATAAATATATTTATTTTAAATTTTATAAATGTTTATTTAAAAAATAAACAATAAAAAAGTAGTTTAATCTGAATAATTCAAATTACATCTGGGACGATCCAGATTGTTTTAGGGTGATTCCTGATGAGCACCGGATAATAGCGTAAATTCTTTTTCACGCCATCTCACCGTCCACTTTCACAAGGCCAACTGGCCAACCATGACACGAATTTACATTATTGCCAACATAAAATATTCAACTTATAACAACTGCTACTGCTAGCTGAGTCACTAACGCTAAAAATTGTTTTTACATGTTTTATTGAAATTTCTGTAGTCTTTTATTTCTTTGCTAGTTATTCGGTCACACATTTTAATACTAAAAAATGGGTCTAATTTTTTTAAATTAAAATTATTATCTACCTCATGCATTAAAGGAAAAAAAAAAATTAGCTCTTTATATGGGGAAGCCCAAAAATTTGCGAGTGGAAGACGTTGATCCAAACGTAAATTTCAGTCTACATTAACGTTGACGCGACGAAATTCAACAATTTTCACTAGTCAAACTTATATGACACGTGTAATTCTATCGAACAATTCGACCAAAAAAAGCAATTCTGTCAAACAAATTGAGAAAATATTATTCCTCAAATAGAAACAGAAGTCAGTTTTGTTGACGGCCTTCATTCACATTTCTGTTTTTGGACTTGAGAAACTACAACGATCATTCGTCAAAAAAAAAAAAATCCGTCAAACCGATAAAACATGGAAGACAACAATTATTATAGCAAACATCGTACGATGCTTATGAAAACCTTCCGAAAGTGTGGGAGCTATATATCTCTCGCTAACAAGACCTGGTTACTATAAAACCCTCAGGCTCTCATGATGTATCACCATTTCTCAATAAATTAAACTTGTTTATATATAATTTAGGGGGCAAAAATTCAGAAGAACAGAAATAATGGCTCGTCGATCTGTTTCGTGTTTGATCATCATGGTTTTGTGTTTCTCCCTCCTCCTCCATCCTGCTCTCGCAAAAGGCAAAGGCAAGAAACACAAGAAAAAGCATCCCAAAGACGAACCCGTAACCCTAACGCCGCCAGCTGACGATCTATCGCCGCCCAAGCCCGACTCCCCGGGACACCACCACGACAAGAAGAAGAAACACGACTCGGAATCTGATGTTATGCCATCACTATCTCCGGCCGTCAAAGACCTCGTTACCAAGTCTCTTAGCTTGTCACAACCACCGAGCACGGCCCCATCACCGTCTGAGCAACCCCTCACGCCTCCACCGGCGGTCTCACCGGCACCACTGGTCTCCGGGTCCATTGCCTTGATTGTAAAATCCAACAAAGGGAAGTCCTTCACCGACCACATCTGTGATCTGGCCGGAAACCCTAAACAGTGCGAAAAGATCCTGGAGGGCAAGGACGAGAAGTACATGGCCTCGCTGCCGGCGGGCACCACCTCATTGCTGTCCATAGAGCTGTCAGCGGCGGTTGCTTCGAAGGCCGTGCTTTACATGTCGGACAAGATGACGAGCGATAGCATCGATCCATCGGAGACGACGTGCGTAGAGAATTACCAAGAAGCCATTGTTGGTTTCACTGGGGGTTATGCAAATTTCACGGTAGATCCTACGACGGCGAAACAGAGCCTTAATGATGCTGATGTTAAGATTGGATTGTGCGAAACCAGTCTGGCCTCAGGAGAGCCCAAGGGTTTTCTTCCTCTCATGGAGGACACCAACAAGCTGTTGAGAGCTTTGATTCAGTTGGTGTTAAAGGAGTTTCCTCATTAATTAACTTCATCATCTCATATATATGATCATGGATATATTTATATTTGTGATTCGATTAAGGTTTTATCAATGTTGGAATTTATAATTAGTTTCCGACAACTCGAGCCAAAACTGAGCCTCATTTAATATGTTGAGACATGGTCCAGAAGGTGTTTTCTTTTTGCTGTATTCTTCATTTTGTGTGAAGAACAATGTGATTCTTATAAAATGGATATTGTTAGAATCCTATAAGAAACAATAGTTATCATGGCCTGAATCAGGCACTGGAAGACTAGTTCTCAATCATGAACGTAGGATACTAATCGGCCATGTATATAAAACATGCTGCCATGCCACCATTCTTTTTAGCTGACATTCGAAGTTTTAATATACAAATTAAATGATACAATACAATTAATGTGTCAATTCTTTTTTTTAAAATTAAGTTCAATATACGAAAAAAAGTGTTTAGTTACATAATCACGATCGACTATACAATTTATGGGTGGCTTCTAAATCCTTTCTTTGTTTTTTTTTTTTTGGTGGTATACTGATCTCCATTTATATATAGTAATGTTGTGTTTGTAACATCCCAATATAAATTTTAATAGTTAATTTGGGTTAATAAAAAATTAAAAAAAATAAATAATTTTAAAAAAAATAAAAATAAAAAAAATAATAATAAAATAATATTATTAAATTATTATTATAATAAAAAAAAGGTGTAAAAACAAGAAAGAAAGGAAGAAGAAGAAGAAAACGAATTTGCTTCGTCCGCCGCCTCAACAGTAACAGTAATAAAATAATAAGAAGAAGAAGAGAGAGAAAATAATTAAAAAAATGTGGGACCCACTGAATTTTTATAAAAACTCACCTGTTCCTTCATTTCTTCATTCCTTCTTTCGTGCGTGAGCTTCGGCAGAGAGAGCATCTGTGAGCCAAATTCACCGGTGCAGGGTTTTAAGGTAAGAGTTTTTAATAGGATATTTAGGATGTGATTTTAAGCTTTTCAAGACTAAGTAAGTGTTCTAAAATTTTTTCTTAGTCATCCTTTTTCTTTTGTTTCTGAGTTTGTAGTGGTAGAAAATTTAAGATTTGGAAGAGGGATGAATTTATGTTGAATAAATATGGTTTTTGAGGTTGTTAGTAGTATAATAAATATTCTAGAGTATAAATTTATTGGTGATCTTTGAATTTGTGGCTTATAGATCAAATTCTAGACTAGATCTGAAAATATATGTTGATTTATTGAGGTTTAGATGATTATTTGGGATGAGAAATGAATTATTATGGCTATAGGATTATGATTCTAAACTAGAGACTCAATTTTTAATTTTTGGGTATTTTAGGTACGAATTTATAAAATAAAAAGAAAATTTTGATAATAGAAATTAGTTTAAAATTTGATTTTTAGATTATTAATGTTTATTAATAATTAAAAGAGGAGTTAAAAATTATACTTAATAGTATTAACTATAGATTTGTATTAAGATTGAGATTAGGAATTATGTTATATTTTTAATTCTATTATTAGAATTATTTTATTAGTTTCAAAAATTGAAACTAATATTTATAAATAATATGTTATTTGTAGATTGTATTACTGGTGAAGATTGTGGTGAGAGAGAAATTTTAAGGAATAATTTATTGAAAAAGCCACAAGGTAACCATGCTTTTAATTTGTGATTAGTGTTACTTCTTGTTAATTGGGTGATTATTGAGAAAATTATAAATTTTGTAATATTATATAATTGTGCAATATTATTATAAATTTATTTGATTATTGTGGGAGGTGTTAGGAAATTTGCTATTATTGTTGTATTTATGTGCCACGTGGTACGCCCCTATTGAAGCTCAATAGGTGGTTTGTAAGGGCTCGGGCTAATCTACCTTTGGCCGGGTAATTTAGTACCGAGTGAGGGCTACGGCTCGAGGTTAATGGAGGGATATAAGGATGGTTGTTTGTGTTTATTATAATATTTCTTATATTTGTTGGAATTATATTATTTTTAATTCTCACTTAGTAAGCACACACTTAACTGTTTGTATACACTATCATAAATTGGCTTTGGTTACTGGGACTTTTGAGTCTCATTATGTGGTTAACAATTTTCAGGAGAAGAGCCACGAGTGACACGTGGAGGAGTCCCAGAGGCTTAGTGGTATAGATCCACTGTCTCTTTTGGGTATTTAATTTATGATTTATAATGTATTATATTGCCAATATTAGGGCTTTTTGTTTATTGTCAATTATATGAATATATAAATATAATCATGCCTTTCAAACTATTTCTATTTTTAGTACAATTTGGATGACTGTAATTTTAATATTTGGTTTACTTTGGATTGGTTAAAATGGCATGATTATAAGGCCAAATAACTGGCTTGTGTTGAAAATTTATTAAATTGCTTATTTTACTTGTTGGGAGTATAAGGATGGACAAATGTGATTTAGTTTACTTGTTGGGAGTATAAGGATGGACAAATGTGATTTAGCCTAATGGCATGTGGGAGGTAAAAATTTATCTGAAATGTTAATTATAAAATATTTTATATTGAAATTATTGATATAAAAATGTGTTGGGTGGCTGTAACCCAACTATAGTTGAGTTAAATTATTTTTAAAAAAAAAATTTTAGTGTGTTACAGTGTTTGGATAGAGAATTGATTTTTTTTTTAGTATACCAATCCCTTTTGAACTATATACGTAAATCTGAAATGTTTTAATGGTCATGTTAGCCATCAATAGGCGATGTCAAGTGGGCGTTGATTTGAAGACCATTTTACAGTGAAGACCAGCTTCAAAAGACTTAAATGAACACTTGAAAAGAAAAAAAACACTAAATACAACAAAACACAATCTTTGGGCCACGGGGCCAGATTGATAGTAGTGTCTGTGGAGGACCAAAAATTAATTGGTGATACGTCCTTTACAGATCGTTTTTCACTCGTTCTCTTGTTACGCATGTTGATGTGAGTTTTATTAGCTTCGGGTTTGAGGCCAAGTGTCAACGCTTTTGAAAAAGGTTAGGCGTGTTTGAAATTATTTTATTTTAGTGTTACGAGAATTGTTATTTTGTAGAATATATTTTGAGGAAAAAATAATAAATGGTTCTTGTATTCTCCCTTATTATCAAAAATAATAATCTCAAAATATATAAAAATTGTTTTTATTTTTTTATTCTCAAAAATAATATTTATTTTTTTTATCTTCCAAAATACTTTCTAAAAACACTTTAACAAATATATTTTTTTTCTCAAAAACAAAACTTTTTTTAAAATAGACTGCCAAACAAGCCCTTAATCTCTAGGGACACCAAATTGTCTGTATCAAACAGTACAAGGTGGTAAAAGAAAAAAGAAAAAATTATAATCAAAGACTACTAGAGACAATTAATTGTACTATAATTGTACTGCAAGACGAACTAATTTTAATATTACTCAACAGAACCAAATGATCTACTTTTGATGTGAAAAGACAAAAGTACCCTTCATATGTGTATTATATACTTTTTTAACAAATCCCTATTCAAGAAAAAAACAAATCTCATTTTCATTTTAGCAATAATCAATTCCATTATTAATAATTCCAAAAAACTAACTTAATAATGAAAAGAAACAAGCATTGTGATTCAGTAAACAAGTCTTTATTCAAGAAAAAACAAGTCTAATTTTTATTTTAACAATAATTAGTTTTCCTATTAATAACTTCAAAAAATTAACTTGATAATAAGAGAAATAAATGTTATAATCCAATGAACAAGTCTTCATTTGCCAAAAAAAAAAATCTCATTTTCATTCTAACAACAGTCAATTTCTTTATTAACAACTCAAAAATTAATTTGGTAGAAAAATTATTGTAATCTAGTAAACAAGTCTTTATTTAAAAAAAAAAACAAATCTCATTCTTATTTTAACATTAACCAATTCCCCATCACAATAGATATATATCAAGAGTAGTTTTATTTTTTCAAAACAAAATTTAATTATATTTAAATCATTTAATCCTGCACAATAATATTAGAATCATTTGCTCTTGCAATGTAATTATCTTTAATAATCCTTGATTGTAATTTTCCAAAAAAAAAAAGTCTAACTCTTGCAATGTAATTAATTATCTTTAATAATCCTTGATTGTAATTTTCCAAAAAAAAAATTCTAAAAATACCACTTCATATCAACAGCTTGAATGAAACCATTTTCACATAGTACCAAGTTTGTACAGAGCCTAAAACTCAGTATGTAGGGACATTTTTAGTATTTTCACAACTGGTTATTTACACAAAGAATATAGCCAGCAGTGTAGATACCATCCACATATTAAACCGTAGGGGGAAAAAACTATCGAACAAATAAAAACTCATTTCTATGCATTCCCAAGAAAGGGAAAAAAAAAAAAAGCCAGAGGATTAACACAGTGGTTGACTCAGATTTTGCACCCAGATTTTCCTATCAATTCAAATTCCATTTGATCCACAAACTCTGACCAATGAGTTTCCTCTCCCTCCTCTTACAATATCCAAGCAAATCCCACATCATCCCTATTGATGGCATGCAAACATCAGAAAAACAAAACCGCAAGTCATTGGCGCACCTCCTTAGAAGCAACATAGCTTCTGCTTTCTGTGACATTTGAACTGGCAAGGACCTCTGGTGACATTTCCCAGCTCCCACTTCTCCTTCCCCAACTTGAGTGCCTAGCATCACATCGAATTGTCCGAGATCGGTAATCTGACTCCAAACTCGAATCAGCCTCCGAGTTGTTAAGTGGAGGTTCATTGCTCCCTCTACTGCGAACATCCTCATCAATTTCTTCAATATTCCGACGCTGTGATATCTTCAATAGATCTTCACCAATGTCTAGATCATCTTCAACTTTAGGACGTGGACATCCACCCAGGTCTTCAGGCTCAGGTTCCCCGCTACTGACTTGAGGGGGCGGCCTCTGAACCTCCTCTTGTACAATGGCTCGGAAATTGTTTCTCGAGGGCTTAACTTTAGTGCAAAATACTTCCAGAAAGTTATTGAAAAAACCACGATTATAAACATTGACCCTGTTGTCAGCTCTGTAACGAAAGTTTTCATAGGTAGTCTGCGGAAAAAAGGGGTAATAATCTAGGTGATCAAAATATTCTTGTAATGACCTAGTGATCAATTTTCAGCAGCAACCCATGCAATCACATGCAATATGGATTATAAAAAATGATGCATCCTACTACACATCCACTCGACACAGCACTCAAAAGATATGCTGGAAATGTGATGACGACATCTCTCTCTCTCTCTCTCTCTCTATATATATATATATATGCATGACAATTTCATAATTACAAGTGAAGATCATCTTCCGTCACTAAGTAGACAGCTTGATTTTAGGCTACCATTACCGCATGAAATGCTGTGAAAACATTTGAGATTTCGATGTGGATAAACTATTTAAATCAATTAAGTATTAGGGGCTATTTCATGAATTAAGAGTTTACTATCACGAAGCTATTTCTGAATTCCAACTAAAGGTGGAAATATTAACTCCATGGTGATAAATCCTTCGCAAAGTAAAAAGCTAATCGGAAGATACATTAAACAGTAATTAATGAAAAAGGGTATGAAAGAAAGAAATGTAAGAAAGAGATTTGACCTGATTAGAGCCTATAAGGTATAAATGAAAACCAGTCAGCCCACCAACAAACCACAGAGCGATGAAACAATAAATCATTAGTATCACTGATGCAGGGGATTCCTTCATTGCCTTCCAAACTGTGCCATCGGCATGATCCATGAGAACCTTAATATAGAAAGCTGAGATGGAAAAAACATATATGCATAGAATGGTCGCTGAAGATACAAATAGAAAGAAGTAACGGTAGTTCCTCTGCACACAGGAAAAGCCAAAGAAAGTACTATAAGAGGAAAAAGAAAAACAGCAACTATACATAACATCAATAGAAAAGAAAACAATGATCATAAAAATCAATTGTCATAATAGTCAGTTATTATACCAATCCAATGCATTGGCCAACCCAAGGGCAATGGTGATCAAAACGCTCAACACAGTTGTTGCAAATGGAACAATGTGAACAGCGTGGAGGACGATACAGCATACAAGTTTCACAGTACTTCACCCTTACAGGAAGGCCATTGACCATTACTTCTTTGGTTCGAGGGAACTGAAGAGTTGGTGTTTGTCGGCCCCCAACATCAGCAGACACTGAAGAATCATAACGAAACTCCTCCTCTGGTGGATTAGAATTCCTTGGAATAATGCCCGGATCACGTGATGAAGTAAGAAAGAGAAGAACTAGAACCTGTAAACATATACTATAGGGATTATGTTGTGTCAAACACTATGAGACCAGACAAAGGTTAGGAAGGGAAATCAATCATGATATGAAAATTTCACTCAAGCCACCCCTCCACCTTATTTTGATAAAATTTGAAAATTATTGACAAGAAAGGAAAGAAAAGAAAGAAAAAGGCAGCAAAAATAGAAGCATTAAGCCCAGATCTAGAGTCATTGACATTAATTCATAACAGGCTCTGATGATTGGTGGATACTGGGTAAAAATATAGCTCAAAGGCATTCTGCATTGCCTCTGAATGGAAAGAGTTCAGCTTTCCACCATAAATTAGGGTCTCAAGCATGGCAGCATAGCGGAACATTAAGAGGGCACCAGCTCTTCCCACTTGGTGAAGCTTGCTGGGCTTTGCACTGGCTCTCTCAGTCATGATTTCTTTTTGTCTCTTCTCTCTTGCTTATTTGAATATCTGTTCAAATCCTTCCCACTTTTAGAGATCTTTCATCCTCATACTCTCATAGCATTTGGGATCAACTCCTTGATGGTTAAATGAAAGTAGTTTCTTTTATTGAATCATTTTCTTTTCTTCCTGTACTTGCTATGAAGGGTAAAAAATTCAATCATACAGATGTTCAGGAGAAAACAAAGTATTAGTTATCAATGGTGAGCAAAATCCCTGGCACAAACTGTCAACTTACAAGTTTCAAGGATGAGGGAGAACGGCAGTTTAGGGAGATGAGTGGAAAACTAACAGAGGAACCTTGATAATATAATTGAAATTAAGCCAAGTGTTTCTTTAATCAATTTTTTTTTATAAAAAAAAAAAGAACAGAGCTACTCCAAAACACAGTAACTAAAACATTTGAACCATGAATGTATAACAAACAGGATCCAGCCATGCATATGGCAAGGATAGACACATCAAAAGCTGACTAGAAAAGAATGAGGGGAAAAAGGTTCACAAAACTTACCCAAATGGTAAAGAGAATAGCCATAACTAGAATAGCAAATCCTGCATTATACGATGAAAATTCATGCCGAAGATGCCACGCTACAAATACACAAAAGATGATCACTGGAACAATAATCAGCAACAAGGTGGCAAGAAGGGATCGAACATCAGGCCCAAATATCAACCTCCCTCGACAAATGAACTTCTGCATATGATTAGGAGAAGAGTTAGAAGTAAAATAAGAGTTAACACTTAGACAGAATTAATAGGGCAGAATTTAGTATAGAGCATGTTGATTAGTAAGAGACAAAAGAAGGCATGAAAAATACTAAAGGCAATATAGAAGAGATCATGTTTACATCTTATAGAAATCCATGGATGATAAGCTACTATGCTCCTGAACATGCAATAAATTATTGAAATATGCTAACGTCATTAGAAGAGGAAGTATCAGAAGTTACAAGGAAAGTCTCACAAAAGCTAAAGCAGTAAATTATACCTATCATCTAAAGGCTAAACCAATTTTTTTACTTCAGAATAAAACATATTTCCTAATTAATGCAAACTTGAAATTAAAAATAGATTTAATGAAATAAAAATAAAGAACAAAGTCAAGAATATTTTCTTTTTGAAGTTTCTTCTTTTTTTCTTTTTTGTTGTCCATGTCCCTTGGAGTTTGGATAACAAAACTGAAACCTATGTTTTTCAACATATAAGAAGGCACAGATCCCAGCTATATCACTTTAATGCAAAAACCCACAAAGAAGGGGTGGAGTAGCAGGCATATTGTGAACAGTATTGTCAATGGGCAACTATTGCAGAAGGTCAACCTTTAGTGAGTGCCCAACAATGGTTTTAGTCTCTAACATGCCTTTTATACAAAAGGCCTGTAAAACAGTGAACAGAAATTAATTTAATTTAACTAGTAGAACCTGCTAGGATTGAAACACCGATCACTCAGTCAAAGAGGCTTTAGTTGTCAGGGAACATTTATCCTCAAAAACTTAAGCATTGGACACACACCTAGGAATGATTCTATCTCTAACAGACTTATAATATTTATGAATACCGCATCAACAGCCCATATTCAAACAAAAGTAACCCAACTGTCAACATATATCCAAAAGCACTTAATGGGAACATAGAAAGTTTATCATGTTCTAACTAAGCCGTTAATACATCCTAAGCCTTATATCAATTTTCTTTCCACCTTAAATACTTTATTCCACCACAAGTCTCTTGAAATTATACCAAGTTACATATCATAGCATGGGCATCTCCATGTTTCGTGATCCTACTCATAATTAAGCTAAAATATCCGAACCAATAACAGAAATTAACAAAAAATACATCATATCTCAATCATTCATTAATCTATTTTCAAACTTTAAAGTTAATCTGTCAGAACCCAGAAGAGTTGTTTCACCAAGGGAATACAAAATTGTTCATCATAACTTTTCTAAATATAGAATTAAATAACATATATATCACATGATTCATCTGTCTCTTCGCTTTTCAAATCCACAAGAGAAAAGCCATTTTTTTCAGTTGCCGAGAGTCCAAACATATTACATGAACATACGCAAGAAATCTCAAACATGAGGCCTATAACCTGTATTTACACTTATTTGTAAAATTAAACACCAAAAGGTTATAAAAAATAGTTTCAAGATAGACATGAAAAGGTGCTATCTATGATTATTTTACAAGCTACTGAATAAGGATTTCTTCTTTAAGAAGCAAAACAATCATCAAGAGGAGCAGACAAAATATGACAATAACTCAAACTCTCCGCAACCTTAACTTCTTAAGTTTCATAAACCTTCTGATAAACCCACTCAAAAAAAAAAAAAAAAAACTCGATAACAATGTCTAGTGAAACAAGAAAAACATCAGATTAGTCGAGTTCAATATAGTAGATACTTATTTGACCAGCAGACAGGGCAACTTGCCAAGGTAAGCCTAACAATTGCATCTAAGGACTGCTTCTGAATCTCTGATTCTCAGTAAAAAGGTGAAACAACCTAGCTAAGTAGAAAAATGGCTGCAACCAAGATCAATACTTGATCATAGATAGTATAAAATCCAATGGCCAAATTAAATGTTATGTCCAAGTCCAACCAATTCCTCCCACGAAACCACTATTGAAGGTTCGTCTGACAGGAAGTAAGGCAGAACATAGGACCCCAAACCCGCCGTACACAAACAAACACAATGAACGGGCAGAGGAAGAGAACTGCTAATCCAAAGTAGTAAATCCCACAAAATGTAGATCTCACTTCAGTAGCTTAACATGTCCAATGTACGATCGCGGAATCATCGTTCAAGTTAAAACTTTCTGTCTTCACTTCCATACTTAAGCAACGAAAACAGCCTTAAACTCAGACCACACTTAAGCTTTTAGCATCATGCAAAAACACCTAATCTATAAGGAACCACAACCTTTCCCCGTCAACAAATAAAGAGCATCCCCAGAAGGCATGTAAAGTATCAAAAGTCTAATTTGCGAAGAAGAGGAAGAAGCAGGTGAAATAAACATTACATTACTTCCTTTCCAGACTTCGTACACGCGCTTTGCCATGAAGATTCCTACGCAATCTTCACACTATGCAGGGAAAGAGCCAAAGAGCCCAAACTCGCAACAAATGTTCATCTCATGTCGCATTCGCGCATTCAGAAAACAGCCCCCCAATAGAACTCCAACAGAATCAGAGTCCAATTGGTGAGGGACTATCCTCAATGAAGCGATTGAAGAGCGAAATCCAAAGGCTACGATGCGAGAAGAAAAAGGAAAATGAAGGGGCTCCGGAGAAACGTGACAAAAAGCCTCAAAACGATGAGAGAGAAAGGTGTGATCTCAAGATGGCGGTTTTTGATTCTGAGTTTGGAATTAGCAAGCATGCTTTTTGTTCGCCAAGGAATGTTTAAGGGGAAATCTTCCCTGCGCCGATATATAGCGCAAACGAATACTATTGCAGAAGAAGAACCCTTCCATCTCACGTCACTGTCACCTCCCAATCCATCCTCAAGTGAATCCCCAGGCAAAAAAATTGCATTCATGGGAAATTACCCATTTGCCATCCAATTTGTGATCGAAATCTGTCTGCCACGTCGGCATCTCGGTGGGACCAATTCGTAAGTGGCACGATCCCAACGGTTATGATAGAGAAAGTGCGTCCTCTATCACCGGGTTCAGGTTTGTGCGTGAAATTGTTATTATGTTTTCTTTGTTGCTGATTCAAAACTTAAAAGGAGGGGAATCCAATAATAACAGTCCTCCATTTTAAGAGCAGTGGTGCCGGGAAACCAAAAGGCATGGGCAAGTAATAAAAAGGCCAACAAGAATAGCCAAAAGCGAAATGCCAGCCTGGATTTTCTGTCTTCTGTTTCAGGTTTTTTTTTTTTGGGCCAGTCTTCTGTTTCAGTTTAGCATTACCCTCCTCAAACGTTGGTGAAAGAACAGAAAAACAATTAATATTATGAAAATCCAAATCAACCGATTTAATTGAGCCGGGATATTGTTAAAATAGTATGCTAACTATTTTAATAAAATGTTTTGTTTATGATAGTATGCTCATGCTTCATCATTAACTCTTGAATTAGCATCTTAATTGATTCAATGACTAATTTAGTTTTGAATATTTTAATTAATATTAATCCCTTTTAATACTTGTTGAGAGTTGTTCTTATCCATTTCCATTCATTTCATAAATCTCTTCTAACATACCAAACATCAGAATAATTTTGATGAAAATATAAATAGTGAATAGCTTGATATATAACAATTGTCCAGTGTAAATCATTTTCTCCGAATAAATATTAGGACATGGTTATTTTCACACGGTATGGAATCTTAGGAATATCCTCCTTCATCGATAGTCAAAGTATCACGGTCCTTCTCTAATCTCTAGCATGCCCTTCTTCGGAAAATCTCAAGTCTCATAGAACGTGACGTTGACTGTGGTGGAGGATGTAATTGTAACAAGATCATTCAAAAATGCCTTACAATCTAGATACTGGGCGAAGGATGAAATGATTTGGAGGATGTCTTGCATGCCTATAATTTCTAGGAGGAAATATGTAAAGATGAACTCTTTCAATTTTATTTATAAATTATTTTTATTAATCTCATCAATATTAATATAATAAAAATATAAAAAATAAAAATTAATGAAATTTTAAACATAAACCTTAAGTAAAGCCAAAAGTAAATAAGCTTTGAGTAAAGCAAAAAGTAAATAAATTATATAATATTATTTTTTGTCTCTAATTTTTTAAGGGTAGTTTGGACATTTTATTTAAAATAAAATATCACTATCAATCCGTAACTTATAAATTGGACTACTTTACCTTGTTAGATGGTGACCAATAAAGCAGACTAGAGGGATATATTCTAAAAAGGCATTATTGATAGAGATCTCAACTTTCACATGCTCCTTGAGATATGATCAATGACTAATATTCTCAATCAAGATTTAACTATTTACCTTTGCATTATAATAAATTAAAAATAAACTATGCCCCTCATAGCAGGCCAAATTAGGCTCAATATTCATAACTCAATTAATAAGTGACAACAATTGTATTTGTTGTTTCTTATAATAGTATTATCCATGGTGATTAAGGAAGTTGTATAATTTTTTTTTTTAAATACCTTCACTATCATCCAAATATTACCATAAAAATCATAGGTATTTTTAAAGGCCTTGACATTTGTTAGAATAAAAAATTTACTAAAATCAATGTTTACTATAATTCTTTTGAAGCTTTCACACAACAAGAGTTTTTTTTTTTTAAATCATCCCCTTAAAAGTATCAAGAAAATCAGATAATTCATTATAAAAGATTAGATAATTATTTTTGATCGTGTATTTATGGAAGCAAACATTTGTATAAATTGATTGGTTTACTAAACTTCTATCAATAATTTAGATATTGAAATTATTAATGTTTTAACTCTCAATGTAGAAATATTTTGTACTTTGGTATGGCCTGATTTGTTATTCTCTTGCACGGACTTCTACTGACCTTGTGTTAAAAAAAAAAAAAAACAGACCAGTTATTGAACCGATCCAAGGCAATGGTTTAAAGTTAAAACTATAATTAAATTGTGATTAAATTAATCATAAATAAAATAATTTATTAAACTATTTAAGACACTATTTTAATAGTTTAGTAGTTCAATCAAATGGGGTTAATCTTAAGTTTTATATTATGATAAACATTGAGTTATAACTATCCATTTCTAATCTATTAGCCCATGTTATATGAGCTTGCTTACAATCTTTATGAAATGCAGGATCAACCAAATTCATTTCTCTTACAAATTCAACAACGCTCTTCCTTTAACAATTGTTTTTTATATATATATATATATATATATATTTATTTATTTATTTAATTTTATTTATAAATTATTTTTACCAACCTCATCAATATTAATACAATAAAAATAAATTAAATAAAAGGAAGTAAAATTCTAAACATAATACTAAAATAAAAAGTAAAAATAAACAAAAAATATAATATTATCTTTTTTATTTTTTTTCTATCTTACTTTTTAAGTTTAAAATTTTTTATTTAAAACAAAACAATTTCATTAATGACCCAAAAAAGGCATCATATAGCCTCATTGTTCTTGATTTGGATCGATGTTGCGAACGGGGCTGAGGACGACTTCGACCCTCTTCGTCCCTGTCAGCCTCTAAACATCAACACCCGAAGGGTCTCTGTTTCTGCTTGGGCTTAAGTCCGAGGCGGACAACCTCTCTTCCAACTCCACCATGGTCGTCTTCCGCTTCGCTACCCAACTCTAACGGAGTTCGAACCACTTTCAACCTAACTTCCACCTGACCGGAAACTGAACCCTCAAGTCCTCACCGGCGCCGAAGGGAACCGGTTAATTGTTTCCATTGGAGGTTTGTCATCTCTGGTTTCTTTTATGCATCATGTCCCATTGCCAGTCTAATAAACACTGACTCTAATGTTGTCAGTTTCTTGATTGAATTTGAGCTCCGCTTCGTTTTGAATGTCAAATGTGGATACTGGGGTGAATTCCCACTTCCCCTGACATCTATATTTCACGATAAAACCTAATCTGAAGAAATTGTCCCCATCTTCCCCTATGAACTTAAAACAAAAGAGAATCTTTTCACCCTCTTAACATCAACAGGGGAGGTGGAGATTATTGAAGCTTTACAATATCATGTTTTTGAAGCATTGATTCCTTTGTAGAGCACCAATTCTGATCCATTATTTCTACTTGCAACCAGTGTTCTCTTTTTCGGTTGACCAGTGGGGATTAATTATTTAATTCTTTCGCTATTCGTGTAAGTTGTCTACGATAACTACTGATTAGAATTCTCTCTCTCCTTTTGGTTTCTTGTATAATTTTCTTATATCCGGCAGGGGGATTGCAACATAACTCTGACAGTCATCTAAACAGTCGTTTAAATATAATTCTTAGATATCGAAATGGTAACTATTTATTGGTTTTTGCCCCAGTTTCTTTCTCTGTGCTCAGGTCTATTCTAATTACTGCACATGTTATTTTATATTTGGGTCAAGTGACACGGACGTTCTTAATTTTGAAGGATCCTCATGAAGAGTTGCCTCAATACATTCATATAACGCAGAATGAATTTTTGAATAGACGGTTAGTTTTTTTTCGTATGTCTATATATATTTATATATATCATTTTTGGTGTTTCCTTAAAGAGTATCTCCTTGATCAATTCTTGATGTTTCATCAGCCATAGATAGTGGAAAATAACAACCCCGGGGGGATTTGATTGCCGTAAAACTTATATATGAATGCCTTTTGGCAATAATTTAAATCTAGAATACCTTTATTTATCTTTCCTTTTCAGTGCAACTTGATTTGTCTGCTCAATGGTAAACATTAGTTGTAGTCAGATTAGCTCTTTGGCTTTTTTAAGGTGGGAATGCTTTATAAATTTTACCCAGCTTTCAATATGGACGTTGGATGGTTTCACATTTCTCTCTCAGAATTTTCTGTTATGGATAGCGTAATGGATTAAGCTGATATGATGCATATAATAATAGTAAAACATGGTATGTAGGTAAAGGGTAAGTAACACTGAAAGAGACCAGTGTAGTCAATGGAATTCACCATTGGCAATGCTGATAATGCTTTCCATATTGTACCCAACATGCAATATGGATGTTGGTTTCATATTTCTGTTTAGGTGCCCTCTTTGAGAAATGAGAATTTTTCTGCGATCAATAACTTAATAGATTAAGCTGATCTAGTGTGTATAATATTAATAAGATGAAATAAGGGACCAGAAATGTCAATGAAGCAACATGGGAGATAAGGAGACTTTTGTTGTCAATGGTGTCCACCACAGTGACATGGAAGCTATACAGGGTGCTGCCATGGCATCCACTTTTATGTTGTGGACGCCATGGATAAATTCTGCTGAGGAGGAATGTAGTAATCAAATGTAGGACAGAATCTTTTCTATCAAAAAATTATTGGGCTTCCTTAGGTTCTAGTATTTGTTGCATATTGGTACATTTGTCTTAGTTGAGTGATCACATTTATCTGCTTGGAAGTTTTCTAAGCATGACTGTCTACATGGATTTTTTTTTTCATTTTCATTAATTATGTTTGGATACAAAATTTTGAAGTGCTTTTAGAAAACTGTGAAGCATGCACATGGTGCCTGCCATGACATCTAACACCCATATTGGCAGGCACTGTGTATATGCTTGGTGCCTTTCTAATTACTGGGTTGCCACTAATGGTCTCCGTAAGCCATTGACGACACTGAAGGAAACCCTGATAATATAACAAATACTGTTTTCCGTGGATATTAAGCCAGTTATCTCTTTAGCCTCAGAATAGAAGGTCTGAAGGAGGCGGTTTTTACTAGTTCCTCAGAGTTTTCTGAAGTTCAAACCTTTCCTGTCAGCTGTCTGTAAGTTTTTCTTCATTGAGTTTGTTGAGATTTATGGCTAAAACAGTGAAATGTGATGATCTGCACACTGGTAGTTTGTGCGCATTGACAAAATGGTGATGTCTCCTTTATATATATATTCTGAAATATACTTGATAATTCTCCGAGAGTTAAGGATAATATTAAAGGATAACCAAAAGACTCGTAGACAATTATAAACTCCAAAAATAATAAGGGATGTTTTTAGCTTGTTATACAGATAACTGACTCTAAAATAAACGGTCAACTTATGTCTTAACAAGAGCAACCTTTGACTGGGGTTGCTCCAAAGATGACAGTAAGCTTCAGGAACAAGAAGTTACATTCAATAAAAAACCAACTCGAATGGAAGTTCAATCCAACAGTTGGTGGTCAAATAAAGACTGCACAATTCAATGTAACATAGATGATCTTAACAATTGACAAAGCCTTATAAGGTGTGCTAATTTTTTTTACTTATTGTGCTCCTTCTTTTACTTATTTCTTTATTTATTTTTAGACACGTGAAGCAGAAAGAGGAGGATATGGCAATATGTGAATGTAAATATAATGCTAGTGACCCTGATAGTGCATGTGGGGATGGGTGTCTTAACGTATTGACCAGCTCTGAATGCACCCCTGGCTATTGCCCTTGTGGTGTCTTTTGCAAAAATCAGGTGCATTTTTTGATTTGTTTGTTTTGATGTTACACACACACACATGCATATTTGTTATATCTTCCCTATCATTATCATCGTTTCAATTTTGAAGTATTGAATAAAATACAGTCCTTTTTTTAAAAGAAAGGGTATTATTGTTCTAATTTACATAGAAGGAGTGGGTACAATACTGAGGGAAGATTCTGGATCAATTAGGAGTAATTGCTTGGTAACAATGAATGAAAGAATTTGAAAAATTGTTTGCACCCTTTTCAAATTTGTTCTTAATAAAGTGACTATAGAAATCAGGGATTCTACTTCGCAAAAAAATCCTGCTTGTATTCAATTCTTAGAAAGAATTATTACTTACTATATATTAGACTATCTGTCTTGATGTGCTTGTTATAACATGTTGCACATTCAACTGCTAGTTCTACAAAATTGTTTAAATTTGAATTTCTGGTGCATTGGGGAATAATTACTATGAAGTTCTGGGTTTCTAGATTTGCTGAACCTCTTACATGCTATATTATATCTTTATATGGAATGAAACTAACTGGAATTTTGTATTTCTTTTAAACCATATCTTATGGTTGCAGAGATTTCAAAAGTGTGAATATGCAAAGACAAAGTTGTTTAAAACTGAAGGCCGGGGATGGGGTCTTTTGGCTGATGAGAACATTAAGGTAATCATGTAATGAGTTTTAGCAAGATCTTGCAATAAGAAAATCAAGCTGTATTGCTTGAATCCATGGTGGTTGTGGCATTTTCTAACCTGGCTACAGCTTATTATGTATTCTCATAGTTCCCAGATTTAATCTCTACAGGCTGGCCAATTTATCATTGAATACTGTGGAGAAGTAATTTCATGGAAAGAAGCCAAAAGAAGATCCCAGGCTTATGAAATTCAAGGTCAAGTATTAATTTGTTAGATGTTTCCATTTGGTAGCTGATTTCTCTGTTTTCTAAAAATTCACTTTAGTTTGCAGGTCTCAAAGATGCATTTATTATTTGTCTTAATGCCTCTGAATCTATTGATGCAACTAGAAAGGGAAGCCTTGGTAGATTTATAAATCATTCATGGTAAATCCTTCAAATAAAAGCTCATACAAAAACAAACCTTTACTATGTTTACGTCGTTGGCATTTTGTTGTAGTCCATATTTTCTGACTCAACGTTTGAGATCAACTTAAACCTGTCAAGTTTGCAGTCAGCCAAATTGTGAGACAAGGAAATGGAACGTCTTGGGTGAGATAAGAGTTGGAATATTTGCAAAACAAGATATACCTGTTGGAGCTGAATTGGCATATGATTATAATTTTGAATGGTTTGGTGGTGCAAAGGTTCGTTGCCTCTGTGGTGCAGCCAAATGTTCTGGATTCCTTGGAGCAAAATCTCGTGGTTTTCAGGCAAGTTTTATGAATCTAGCACTGGCCCTGAAATGTTCAAGTGTCAAATTTTGATGTGCCTTGTTTTCTATAGTCCTAATGATTTTTTTTTTTTAGCCAAAATTGATGCTACAACCTTCTTGAGTTGTAAATTTTACTTCATGGATGATGTTATGAGTCCTTTTTAGTCTCATTTAAGAGTTAAGAATATCAGATTCAGGAGACCTAGTTAGAGGAAATAAGAGGTATAATATACACGCATGTGTAATAATGAGCATTAGGATTCAGGTTTTAAATATTGAGTGTTATCAGTGGATTGGGATTTGAAGCTTTGAGTTTCATGTTCATGTGGGATAAAAGAATGGCTGCTGAGGATTCAAGCAAGCGTTTATTTTGTCCTTTATTTCTCCCTTTAATTTGTGTTTCTTTTCAATTTTTTTTCTTCCAATTCTTGTTTTTGCTTATGATCTTTCATTTTTATGGAAATTCTATGCAGGAGGATACATATTTGTGGGAAGATGATGATGAAAGGTAATGTGTGTTATTTAACTCCCCCCTTTTTCAATGCTTTAATTTCGCACTGGCATTCTTCATTTTAGTATTAGTGGCTGTGTGGATATTAACTGCATAATTGTTGTCAATTGTTGGTTACTGTCATTCAGTTATTAGTGGCTGTGTGAGTATTGGATACATGATTGTTAGCAGGGTCTGTCAATTGTCGTTTATGCATTCAGTGTTGTTTATTTTATGGCTAACTTGTTTCCAACTTTCTGTTCTGGTCATGTTTGTAAATTTATAATTAGTTCTTAAAGTATCTCTGATGGAGCTGGTGCGACTTGTGAATTATGAGTTTCTTGATTAAATTGCTTCTTGCAACTGGTGTTTGTGCTTAAGGTAATTGGTGAATACCTTGTATATTTGCATTTTTGCCCCCTTGGAGTCCATCACGCTCAATTGGAGAAATGATGAGATTAAAAATGTGGAGTTGGGTACCCCTACTATTGGATGCCTGAGATCTAATTTTGGTAAAACCCCATAAAATTATGTATCCAAGAGTTTTTGTGAAATCCACTCCGTGATTTCTCTTGATGGTGGAATTGAAGTTCTTATGACATGTGCATTGTAGGGAAAACTGTATCTAGTTTACTTAAAACCAGTAATTTTAAAACCTGTATGACATATTGTCATATTACATAATCCTTCTTTCATGTCTGTGGTGATGTACGTTATTTGCACTATCACTTTAATTTGTCTGTCTTGTGATTTAGTTCATCAATCTGTTCTTTTGGTTACAGGTATACTGTTGAGAAAATTCCAGTATATGACTCTGCAGAGGATGAGCCTCCCTTAAAGGTCCTTAGAAACTTAAATCCTGACGTTCCTGGGATGCAAGTTAATGGAAAGACTGAACACTCCATGGACGTTATTATAAAAGCCGAACAATTATCAGGGTCAACTGCTTTTGGCATTCAGCCGCATGGATCAGTTTCAACAATGGGTTTACATGTCAATTCGATAAAATCTGAAATAGAAAATGATGATATGAAATTGTACTCTAGAGATACTCAGCAGGCCTTTCCACAAAACAATGCAATGATATCACGAATCAGAAGTAATACTGCAGGCCGAAACTATCACATTGGACCTAGGTCCATGTCTGCCAAAAGATCAAAGAAATATAACGGAAGGTTTAAAAATATCACACAGAAGCAAGTCGATGTGAAGTCTGCTGCTGAATCTTTAGCATCTAAAGAAGCACAAGAGGAGATTTTAAAATACGAGGTATTACTTCCCTTTCTGCTTTGTTGCGCGCTCTCTGGTTAGATATGTTTTGCTTCTTGAAAGGAAAAAAAAAAAAGAAAAAAAAAAGAACCAGATGAAAAGTGATTTTGAGAATCGAAAAAATGATTCTTATGCCTTGATGTTTAAAAAGCCCCAAAAAATAAAAAAAACGAAAGAAAATTACTGTTAAGTAACTTTGTTTGAAGAGTATAGAAAAAGAATCTCTCTCCTACTAACCATACACGACCTAAGAAAAGTAAATTGGAGAGGGTGAAAGGTAATCCATCTAGATTTGAGGTGTGGGATGGTTTAAGGTTGGTTCCTTACATCATATCATAATCCATCCTAAAGCCCCATAACGTATGCTTTGGACAAGCAGTTCCCCCCACCTGAGTCCCAAGCAGGTCCCTAGTTTTATGTTGAGCTGCTGTCTGAGTTTTCGGGCTTATATGCAGGAAATGAAGAATGAGGCAACTGGTGCTCTTGATACCTTATACAATGAAATACGACCAGCCATCGAAGAACATGAGAGGGATAGTCAAGACAGTGTATCCACTAGTGTAGCAGAGAAGTGGATTGAAGCTTGCTGTTTGAAAATGAAGGCAGAGTTTGACCTTTACTCTTCCATTGTCAAGAATTTTGCTTGCGCTCCCGCCCAAGCCTCGTGGCCTTCCAAAACCTTCTCAAGTTGATAATGGAAACGAAAACGAGCTCTTGACGAATTGATATTCTTCTGTTCCATCTTATTCATTTATAATTCGTAGCCCATGATTTGGCAAATTGGATGGAGGTACTTCGAGGAAATTCCTTCTCCCCATTTTGTATGTTACATTCATAACAGATCCAATTTTCTGCAGTAAAAATCCATTCAATAGTAATTTGGGTGGGTTGCTCATTTTGAGATAATATTCAGGATTCAGATTACGTGGTCTTCCTCATAGAAGACAGCAACTCTTCCGCCCACCACCCAAAAAGGGTTGGGGGGGGGGGGGTGGAGGTGTCAGAAAGATGACCGAAACGCACTCATAGACAACAATTTTTGTGAGAAATATAAAATAAATATCTTGGTTGGCTGCTATGTTGTGTTTTCCCTTGACTATACATGTCAATTTAATGGTTATAAATCAGAACTGAGATAGTTGGAAAGTAAAATAAAAATAAGAGGAATGAGATAAAATTGAGGTAATTTCTTCGAGAGGATTTTTTTGGGTTAACTTTGAGAATTTAGATTCAACTTTTATTTTGGATGATTATGTGTGCGTTTGGTTTTCAGTTTGTCAAAAGTCAGTTTGATAAAAGTTCATTTGACAAAAGTCAGTTTCGTGAAAGTCAGTTGTTGTAACGAAATTTGTGTTTGGATATATTTTTTCAAAAGTCAGTTTGACAAACTGAAAGTTGTTTGGATTAATAAAAATTTATGCTTTTCAAATGTACTTTTTAATATGTAATGACCAAAAAGGACATTGATTTATGATAATTTATAATTTTTATTATACAAATGTAATATATTAAAAAAAGGTGAATTAAATTTAAAATGACATAAAATTTAAAATGTTAAATATTAAGAATTAAAAAAAAATTAATTTTGGAACAAAATTATGTAATAAATAGTTAAACATTCATTAATATTGAATAGTTACATGATTAATGGTTCGATCTATAATATACAATCTGATCTCTAATAGAATCTCGAACCCTATTCATTTCTCTATCAGAAGCTATGCTTGAAATTGCACTTGAAATTGTTGATGAAAATGCAGGCTCATCAGTATCATCGATAGTGTTAACCATATTTTCATCCTCAAAATGCCTGAAATCAGAATCAGTTTCTAATAAAATTATGTATAGCCATTGTTGCACCAACAATACGAACTTGCTGCACAAATGGATAGCTAGGCATATGTCGTAAGATTGTGAATCTATTTTTCCAAACCCCGAAAGTCCTTTCAATCGTGGTCCTTAAGCTTGAATGATAATAATTAAAAATCTCATTATTATTTGCAAATCCAGATGAACGCCTGAAATCTGGGAGGTGGTACCTATGAGATCTATAAGGACCTAAATATCCACGTGGAGTTGGATAGCCAGCATCTAACAAATAATATTTACCTACCAATAAAAAAATAGAAATTATAAGATCCCAAAAAATATTAAAATAATTGTTTAAATTAGATAAATATAAAATATACCTTGGGGTGGATGTGAAAATTTCATGTCTGGCCTTGTGAGAGCATAGTCAAACAAACGAGCATCATGAGCAGTCCCTTCCCATCCAGCCATGACATAAGTGAAGCACATATCCCAATCACATGCAGCTATTATATTTTGTGTTGGAATACCTTTCCTTTCAATATATTTCCCTTGCTCTTCAACACTAACCACACACGGGATATGTGTGCCATCAATTGCTCCTATGGCATCTTTAAAGAATGGCCAATATCGCGGATCACCTAAAATTTTTGGATGAATATCTTGAAAAGTGCGATCTTTTGGTTGGATATATTCCTTTGCTAGCTTCTCACAAGCATGTAATACATTTCTAAAATGCCTGTGAACAGTCTCTGCTGAATGTTGAAATCGTTCTTGTGCCATCCTATTCCCCACTCCATGTCCAACAATATTTAGGAACATACCGACCATTTCATGAATCCCTGTTCTTCTGGTTGGACGTAGGCCATGTTGCACTAGTTCGTCACAAAGTTGAAGAAAAATATCTTTTTCCATACGAAACATATCAAAATGAAATTCAATAGTATGTATTAAAATAAGCAAGTTTGACCAGAAATTTGTAACCTTTCTCATCCCTTCATCCATTTTCAAAAAATAAATTAGCTCAAATTCTTATCAAAATGAAATTAAAAAAAAAACAAAGCAACATAGAACAATCAATAGATCAGTCACCAGAATATATTTCCAAAACACCGTGTCATATTTTAGAACATCAGCAAATCAACAGAATAATTACAAAATGCAGTCATAAATAATGTTCTTGCTTGCTTATTTTTTCTTATTATGTGAAGCTATCAAAAGAAGGCAATTAAAAAAAATCACACCAGTCTGAAAAATAAAAAAACATACCAGAATGCTTCATGGTGGTCTGAAAAATGAAAGAAACAAACTGGAACAGAATAATTACAATATGCAGTCATGATTAATCTTCTTGCTTGCTTATATTTTCTTGTTATGTGATCAAAACAAGGCAATTAAAAAAAATTCACACCAGTCTGAAAAAGAAAAGAAACAGACCGGAATGCTTTCACGGTGGTCTGAAAAATGAAAGAAACAGACCAGAATGCTTTCACGGTGGTCTGAAAAATGAAAGAAACAGACCGAAATGCTTCACAGTGGTCTGAAAAATGAAAGAAACAGACCAAAACAGTGGCTTCACGGTGGTCCAAAAAAGAAAAGAAACAGATCAGAACAGAGCTTCACGGTGGTCCGAACAAGAAAAGCAACAGATCACATCGAAGAGCAGAACGAAGCAGCACCATTTCCAGATCTGACAAAAAAAGCTTGGAGGCTATCATACCTTGCAGATCGAAGAGCAGATCGGAGAAGAGGATTGGAGTTCCACGAGCTGGTCGGAATGTTCACCTTTGCACTCCACAGGTTGCAAAAGCTGCTGGTCGGAGTTCTCTCAGCTCCGAAATGCCGCCCAAGTCCCAAAATGAGCTTGATCCGTGAAAGAGATGGGGAGAACTTAACGGTGAAATGCAGCCACCGTTGATGAAGGAAGGAGAAGCTTAGGGAAGGAAGAGATCCGGATCTGTGATGGTGGAGGAGAGGCGAAGGAGAGAAGGAGAAGAGATGGCCAAATGGTGGACTAGCGACGGACGAGTGACGGACTAACGGCGGACGATCGGCAGACACAGAGCACAGCAAAGGACGAAGAACACTGATGTATCAGCTGCACAAATGAGGACCACGAGAGGAGAGTATGCGTGATATGTATCAGCTGCAAAAGTGAGGGGCATCATGGTCAATAAACAAATTAGGTACCAGCAATAAATGGATGCCAACTGATCACGTTTTGAAAGCAAGTGGGAGCAGCTTTGCAAATTTTTTCATTTCAAACGTATTTAAAAGTCAGTTTAAAAAGTGCATTTTGTCTGGAAAAAAAAAGCCAAACAACATTTTACATTCAAAAAGTTAAAACTTACTTTTGAAATGTAAACGTAATGAAATCCAAACGCACGCTATATGTAAGACACTTTCAAGGTCAGAAACTGAGCCTCTGCATAAGTAAGACGTGCCTCCCCAGATGATGAATTTTGTGAATGTTTTGGCTTTCACGGTTGAGACAAAGCTCTAATATTTCATAATTTATTAATTTCTTAATCATAAGCCAAGAGAGAGAAAATAGAGGAGAGATTGAGAGAACTGAGAAGTGAATTAATCTTAGTGCGGAATGCTCCAAGTTGATATTACAACTTCGAAAGAAAGAGTTTAAACAAGCAAAAGGATTGATAGATCATCATTACACGCAAGTATGTGTGTCCAGCAAATCTACAACCGCTGCCATTGTAGGCCTGTCTCTTTGCAGCTCCCTTCACGCTAGCCTCACTAACTCCACTCGCCCTGATGATCTGAGGATGAACCATTTGCATTTCACGATTTTCACTCACCACTTTGATGGCCCATTCCGGTAACCACAGTTCTTCAATCGCCGGCTGACGACCAGTGGCGGCTTCCAACATTAAAAACCCAAAACTGTACACATCCACCTTCACATTAAAAACGTTCACACTGTCTGTATATTCTGGGGGCATGTATCCTAGGGAGCCCTCATATCTTGAGGACAATTGAGAATACGTAGACATCTTTGCACGCCCAAAACCTGAAATATGTGCCTCAAATTCAGAGTCCAATAATATGTCATTTAAGGTTATGTTCCTATGTACGGTTGGTTTCAGTGGTGCTCATCACCGGATGAGCAATCTGGATGGTCTAAATTAAAAATCTGAATTTTTCATTTTTTATTTTATATTTATTGAAATATAAAATATAAAATTTTAATAAATTTATCTGATCATCAATTTAATAATATAGATTTAATCTAGATGATTCAATTTAATATTAATTTTTTTAAAATTTTTTATAAATTAACTATCATCTAATACTCAAGATCCAGTATGTTCAGAATGCATTTGAATAATCAATTTATAAATTTTTTAAAACATTTAATATAAATTAGATCATTCAAATTAAATTTGTAATGTTCATATTGATGATGAAATAAATTTATTAAAAAATAAAATGAAAATAAAAAACAAAAGCTAAAAATCTGGACCGTCCAGATTTTTTATCTAGACCGACCAGTTTGATGATATTACGGTGTCAGAGCCTGCCTGGCGTTTCCACTTGGGCTAGAAATTCTTCATGTCCATGGAAGTCATCGGGCGACAGTTTCATAATGGCCACGGGGAGGCCGCTGGAGAGATGCGCCTCGTAGATGACGCTAGAGTTGCCGTGGCCAATGATGAGGTCTGGCGAGAAGTCATGGTGGGCCTTTTGATCTCCTCCATCGACATCTGCACATCTCAGTGGAAAGACTAACATGACTTAACAGTGACACAAGGGACGCAGGACAGGGTTGCCGAGGTCTGCTTCTTCTTGTTGCATAGACAGGCAAGGATAGGAGGCAGCAGCGAGTGTTCTTGTGGTTACGGGGAAGGCGACACTGGCATTCATTGTGACGAAAGAATGGATGAAATTCTGTGAGAAGCTTCAGTGACTTTGCTAAGAAAGGAATGACAAAAATGTTGGTAATTGACTTGTTATCTTTTAGCGTCAACCCTGCAGAAAAATTTAGTGAATCCAAACGCGTTTCCAGGAAGAGAATTGCGGGACAAAAGAGGCGTGTTTGTTTTGAATACAATATGATAATTAGCAAGACTAGCAATAATGAAAACTAAGATAAGTTTACACAAAAAAAAAAAAAATGAAGATAAGCTCCTGACTAATTCATATTCTTCTGTTCCATCTCATTCATTCATTCATAATTCGATCATAGTTCACGTAATTTTTTATGAAGCAAGACCCGTGAAGGAGAAACGGTGGACGTTAGCCATAACATTTCACTTGTAACTCAATTTTGGTCTTGAAGTGAGATATAATTTTGTGGAGCTCAACATCAACTAGATTGGCTTTCCTTATTTAAGGCAAGCCTCCATATCATGTTAGGCTTAGCTTTCAGAAACTAATATAGACAAGAGAGATTGAGAAAAGTGAATGAATCTGATTCTTACAATGGAGTACTCCAATCAGAGAATTATATAGAACACCAATGCATATATTTCACTTCTTCTAACCCATTACATCTAACTTGAGACCAAAAATAACAGCCTGTTAGATGATCGAGCATAAGTATTGATCTTCACGTGCAACTAACTCTGTCCAGCAAATCAACAACCTTTGCCATTGCTGGCCTGTCTCTTTGCAACTCTTTACAGCACAAGCAAGCAATTTCAAAATACTGCTTCACGCTAGCCTCACTAACTCCACCTTCACTCATGATCTTGGGATTAACCATTTCTATTTCACGATTCTCGTTTACCATTTTCTTGGCCCATACCACTAACTCCAGTTCTTTTTTCCCTCGTAATTTCACGGGCAATTCCGGCCGACGGCCGGTGGCAGTTTCCAGCATTAAAACCCCAAAACTGTACACATCCATCTTCACATTTAAGACGGTCATTCCATTTCTATATTCCGGTGGCATGTAGCCGACGGAGCCAGCACATTGTGAGGATAAGTGGGAAGATTTAGACATCCTTGCAAGTCCGAAATCTGCAATATGAGCCTCGAATTCAGAGTCCAATAATATGTTAGATGAGTTTATGTTTCTATGTACAATGGGGTTTTCGAGCTCATGCAAGTAGTGCAGACCATTCGCCACTCCCCTAATGATCTTCACCCTCGTTTCCCACGACAGTGAAGGAACAGCAACATTGCGACTTGAATCATGGTGCAACCAAAGATCCAGGCTTTGTTTCTCCGTGAACTCATAGACCAAGAATCTTTGGGAATCCGACGCTAATGACGCAAGAATTTGGACGATATTACGGTGTCGGAGCTTACCCAATGTTTCCACTTCGGCTTGAAATTTCCTAACTCCTTGGAAGGAGTCAGGTGAGAGTTTCTTGATGGCCACAACGATGCCGCTGGAGAGACGCGCCTTGTAGACGACGCCAAAGCTGCCCCTACCGATGATGAGGTCCGGCGAGAAGTTGCTGGTGGCCTTTTCGATCTCCTCCACGGAGATCTGTACATCTCGGCGGAAAGACCAAGTGGAAGGGAGGCCGGAGGGGGGCAACAACGAGGTCCTCTTCTTCTTGCACAGGCAAGCAAGGAATGTTGTGGCGAAGGCCATGAAGGAGAAACAGAATGGAGAGAGTGAGAGAGTTGCAGAGACGTGCTCGTGTGAACGATGAAATCACAAAGTTACGGATTGAATTATTTGACCAAAGTAGAGGGGCAAATGGGAAGGATGGAAGGAAGCAGCGAAGAACCTGAAGCTATCAATTTTCAGCATGAAATTCATCAGTCTCAAGCTCCAACCACAAGATCAATCAAGCGAATCCAATTCAGTCAATTCCCTTGATATAGTCAATTCTGAAGACAAATGAAAGGGAATGCCAACGCGCTTTGGGGAAGTCAGGTTGGCATTTAAATTTAACTTAAATATGTAGTCGTCTCACGTCTGTTGTTCTTTGTTTTCGGTGGAAAGTTTCTGACAAATAATGTTCGGTGATCAAGGATCATGAATTAATTATCAGTTGATTTCAAACAAAATTTGAAATTTTAGTTGAGAATTAGAGTAAAAATAATTTTAACGGTTAAAAAATTAAAATATCATTCACTTATTAATTTTATTCAATATACAAGATCATTAATTGTTAATATGAGTTAATATTAGTAAACTAACAAATAAAATTAATAAATTAATAATTGATGTTGATTGGCCAAGTTATGTATGATTATTGAATGTCAAGTTATATAATTTATAATTCATATTAATAAATAAAATAAAAAAATTAATAATTAATAATTCTGTATATTCAATAAAATTAATAAGTAAATGATATTTTTATTTTTAATTTTATTAAAATCTTAATAGCTAAAAATTTTTCAATAATCTTGTTAAATTATATATATAATAAATTTGTTGTGATTGATGTTAAGGACGACTTTTCTATTTTTTTCTTGACTTTCATTACTTCTCATCTTGATTTTTCTAATACAGCAATCTCGACCGTGATAAATCGATGATGAATATAATCTTCTAGTCTAGATTTTTTGGAGGCGGCTTCCCTCCCCTTAGGGAAGCCTCAATTTGAATCATTTAGATAATCTAAATTTAATATTTTAAATTTTTATTTTTAACTTATATTTTAAAAATAAAAAATATATAAAAATTGTAAAAAATTTTAATAAATATTCTTATCAATTTGACCATTTAAATTTAATATAGATTGTTCAAATTTAATATTAAAAATTAAATTTTTAAATATATTTTGAATAATGCATATATATTCTATTCAGAATAGTAATTTTTTTTAAAAAATTAAATTTAAATTGTACATATTAATTCTAAACTGTTAGATTAATAAGCATATTTATTAAAAAATTATAATTTTTATATATTTTTTATTTTAAAAATAAAAATTAATAAGCATATAGTGTGGTTGCTAGCCTTATATACAATGAAAGACCACAACAAGTATTGAAAATACATGAACATGTGTGGACAACTTTAGTAATGTTTGTAACAAATGTTAATAAGATTCATGAAAGTTCGTGGCAAATGTTGAAATTTCATACAAGTTTGTAATAAGTATGAGGATCCACAAATTGCCTCTGACAAGTGGTGTGGTAACGTCGGATAAGACGGTAACAAGTGTTGACAATATTTTTGTGGCAAGTTTTGAAACTTCATATAAGCTTGTGACAAACGACAGCATTTACAAGCTGCGTGATTATAAGTAATGGCAAATTCAAACAAGACCGTAACTAGTGTTGGTAATCAAATTGGACAGTTCAAATTTGCCTGCGGAGAAACCGAGGAGGCTTTCCACAGCGAAGCGAAGCCAACTCCAGATCTTTAGCTTCCATTTCCCCAACTTCCAAGTCAGGTTTCCTTGTTCCCAACCATTTGAGTGATGGCTGAGCAAGTCCCATATAGTGTCGTTGCGAGTCTTATATACGAGTTGGGTTCATCGACTTTCCGCGAGTTTGTGAGGGTTTTGGGGGTTCAGGATGAGCTCAATAAGCTCAAGGATACGATTGAATCCATAAAAGCTGTGCTTTTGGATGCTGAGGAGAAGCAAGAGCAGAACCGGGAGGTCAAAAATTGGGTTGGCAGGCTTAAAAAAGTTCTGCACAATGCGGATGATTTGCTTGATGATGTTGTGATTGAAGATTTGCGACGCAAAGTGGATAATGATAGAGGAGGAATAGGGGCAGAGGTATGCCACTTCTTTTCATCCTCGAATTCAATTGCGTTTCGCCATAAAATTGCTCGTAAAATAGAGAAGATCCGACAACTGTTTAAGAGTGTTGCAGAAGATATGTCTATTTTGAAATTTAGTCACATACCTGCAGTAGTTAAGCAAGATGAGAGTGTCTGGAGGGAAACGAGTTCTTTTGTGCTACGATCAGAAATTTTTGGGAGGGAAGAAAATAAAAAGGAGATTGTAAACTTGTTGGAGCGAACAGATGGTAACAAAAATGTTTCTTTGATTGCTATTGTTGGTATTGGGGGTTTAGGCAAGACAGCTTTGGCTCAATTACTGTATAATGATTCTGAAGTGCAGCGAATCTTTCAAAAGCAAATATGGGTGTGTGTTTCCCACGATTTTCAAGTAAAAACTCTGTTGAATAAGATGTTAAAATCATTACAGAATTGCAGTGTTGGTGACCTAGAGTTAGATCAACTACAGGTTAAGCTTCAAGAAAGTTTAAGTGGCCAAAGATATTTGCTTGTGTTGGACGATGTGTGGAGCGAGAGTCAGCAAAGCTGGAATTCCTTGAGAACTTATTTGATGTGTGGTGCTCCTGGTAGTAAAATTCTAGTGACCACTCGTAGTCAAATTGTGGCACAAACAATGGGTGTAGACAGCCTATATTTATTGGAAGGTTTGTCAAAAGAAGAATCCTGGACTTTGTTAAAGAAGTTGGCATTTGGAGAAGATCTAAAAAGACTGAAACAAAATCTTGTACCAATTGGTGAAAAAATTGCAGAGAAGTGTAGAGGAGTTCCACTAGCAATCAGAACAATGGGAGGCCTGTTACAACTAAAAAGTGAAGAAAGTGAGTGGCTGAGCATATTAGATGGTGATTTTTGGAGGTTGTGTGAAGACAAAGATAGCATCATGCCAGTGCTAAAATTGAGTTACCAGAACCTGCCACTTGAGCTAAGACAATGTTTTTCTTATTGTTCATTGTATCCCAAAGATTGGGAAATTCAAAAGGAGGAGCTGGTCCAATTATGGATGGCACAGGGTTACCTTGAATGTTCAACTGAAAATAAATGTTTAGAAGATGTGGGTAATCATTTTGTTAAGATTTTGTTGATGAAATCATTCTTTCAAGAAGCAAAAGTAAACAAACATGGTGATGTTTTATGTTTTAAAATGCATGATTTAGTGCATGATCTTGCAGTGGCCCTTGCTGGAAATGATTGTTGCTTGCATAGTGAGGAAAAACAAAGTGTTGGAACACCAATACATTTATCATTCGAATCTACTCAAATTTATTTAATAGATTCATTGGATGCAAGCAAGTTGCGGACATTTCTTTGGCCTACACAGGGGTTGACAGAATTTCGATCAATAAACAACTTGTCTGCTATTTCCAACTTCAAATGCTTACGGACTTTAAACTTGTCTTGTTGTTCCCTAAGTCACTTGCCGGAGTCAATTGGCAAGTTAAAGCATTTAAGGTATCTCGACTTGAAATTCTGCCAAAAGTTAATCAGTCTTCCCAAAACAATAACTAATCTTGTCAGCTTACAGACTCTGAAATTGCATGCTTGTGTCAAACTTGAGTTTTCTGTGGAAGCTATCACGAGGTTAATTAGTCTGAGACACCTTGACATACGATCTTGTAAAGCCTTCAAATTCATGATGCCAGCCGGGTTGGGAAAGTTGTCATCACTGCAGTATTTATCAACGTTTGTTGTAGGGGATGATCAGAAGAGAAATAGAGGCAAATTGAACGAATTGAAGGACCTAAAAAACCTGAGAGGCCATTTGACAATCAAGAATCTTGGCTTGGTCGGGGATGTGGTGTTGGAGACGCAGGAAGTAAATTTGAACGAAAAGAAATATCTTCAGTCCCTGAAGCTGGACTGGGGAGATAGCAAAAACAACAATGATGATAGTTTGCAGCTATTAGAAAACCTTGGTCCTCACCAGAATTTGAAAGAATTGTCTGTGGCCAGATATCCAGGTGTGGGATTTTCAGGCTGGCTTTCTTCACTCACAAATATTGTTGAAGTTTCTGTGTCTGGGTTTCCTAATTGCGTACATCTCCCACCACTGGAACGGCTTTCTTCTCTTAAATCTCTTGCCATTGAGTATATGTCAGCTCTGGAACACATATGTTTTGAATGGTTTGAAGATAATTCTCCCACTTCAACAACACTCTTCCCTTCTTTGGAGCGGCTCAGCCTCATCCTTTGCCCAAATCTCAGGGGATGGCAGGGAATGCCACAGCAGCAAGATCCTCTGCTGCCTGCATTTCCTCATATTTCTTCTTTAACTATAAAAAATTGTCCGAATTTAACTTGCATGCCTACTTATCCTTGTCTGGCTGAGAACCTGCATTTGGAGTACAGTAGCATAAAGCCATTGGTGGACACATTGAAGATGAATACGTCAGCATCAACAGCAACAGAAGATGACCCGAATCTGCCGATTACTCCTCTTTCCTTACTCAAGCATTTGATTATTTGTGACATGGACATGGAGGCTTTACCAGAGGAGTGGATCTGCAAGCTTTCATCACTTCGACATTTTACTGTTGATTCTTGCCCCAATTTGGAGTCTCTGCCAGAAGGAATAGACCATCTTATCAATTTGCAGACACTGGAAATCACAGCATGTCCTCTCCTACTTGAAAGGTGCAAGAGAGAAACTGGACCAGATTGGCCCAAAATTGCTCACATCCCAAACATAAGGGTGGTGCGATAGCAGGTGCTGATTGGAGATCTGATTCTAGCATCTGAAGATAAGTGACCAAAAGCTGCCTACCAGACAGAAGTCAGAAGATAATACAAGAGAAAGACACTACTCTTGTTGAACTATGTAACTGAGTCTGTTGGACCATTAGTTTTGTTATGTGGTTCGTTGAGTCTAGGCCCAATATGCCCAGTCGTAAATCTTGGTAAGATTGTAAGAATAGAGATGGGTATGGCATGCACATTCAGATTCAGATCGTTATGAAATAATACAGAATAGAAATACGTTTGTTAGTACTTCTGTGCTCTCTCGTATACATTGATAATTCTGCTGTTATGAATAAATTACTTTATCTGGGGAGCTAGATTCCATCTTCTTGATCATTGTTGTTTTACTTGTGAATTACTTTTACTATAAAATTGTATTGTAAATATAACTTCATAAGAAAAGCACATGCTAAATAGAGCTTGCTTAATAGACCATTGTGACTGAACGGAAAAGCTGCAAGTTATCCAAGTTAGAATGTGGACGAAGCCAATGTGGTTCTATAGTTTTTTGAACCGTCCGTGCCACAACCATTTGTCGTTCTATAGTTCGGGTGCTTACAACTCTACCACAAATATAGAAATTACTGAAAAATCTTCAAGTTCGTCCATCTTTTTATACTCATGTCAATGCATTTTCATTAACTTTTCATATATTGCGCCACTTGCATGATCCATGTGAATGTTCATATGGATGTTGAGTGGATATTCACACAATATTTTATTATGTAAAAAGTATAATTGAAAATATTCATTTAAAAAATTTGTAAACCAGGCAACTGCATAAATGAAAGGAAATAGAAAGTTTCAGTATTATGCATCACCTAATTACCAAAAAATTGTGAGTGATTTCAAACGACTGTTATATTATAACTAGACGAAATTAAAAAAAAATTAAAGATGAATAAAGAGGTATGTAAAAATAAAATATCCATTATTTTATTTTGTTTACTACCATTTAAATTTACCATATCACAATTCAGAACCTGGAAAAAAAAATCAAAGGATTCAGAGATCACATATTCATACTCATAAATATGTTGACGGAATCCGGATGCTATGTTGTGTTTCCTTTTTAATTCATAGAGGTTTTTTTAGTACTAGACATGGAATAAAGCTTCCACAGAAGAAGCACACGTCATTATTAAAACCAAGTTATAACGAAAAGCAAATTTTCACAGCAATATCCATCAACTAAAAATAAAACCTATACAAAACACACACATATAGTAATACAAGTTACCAAAAAATCAGGTATACATAGAACTATGCAAGTTTACAAGAAAATTTTCCAGGTCAAAATATTTATTGCAGTCCCTGAGTCAAGGAAAGTCTGCCTACCTGAATCTGCATCCCCCACGATTTGCTGTTGTATGACAAATTAGATGGAATTGTTTCTAGTTAACTCTTCGGAGCCATAAATGGTAATACTTGATCCTGCTAGACTGCTAAAATAACCAACCAAAAACAAACGATCAACTAGGGCCTGTTTAGTTTAGTTCTTTTTTTAAGAAAAAAATATATTTTATAATACAGTTTTTAAATTTGTTTAAAGAAAAAAAAAAAAGAAAACTTGTTTGTTGTTAATTTAAAAATGATTTTTGAATTAAAAAATTGGTTGATAGTAATGGTCACAGATAGTTAATGAGGATGGCTTATAATAATTATTGATCTAAATAACTGTAATTTTCAATAATCAAATGTAATGTATTTTTAAAACAATAAAAAAATGAAAACAACTTTAAAATGTTACTATTTTTTTAAAAAAATGAGAATAATTTTAAAAATAATTAAATTCAAAATACTTATCCAAAAAAATTATTTTTATTTAAAAAACTGTTTTTGAAAATAAAAACTAAATAATCTCCTAAATTCTCAAGCTTGGACCACTTAGGCTTCTGGCTCGTCTCTATTTTGAACACTGGACATGTTGAAAGTTGAAACTTTAGGTGAGTTATAAAACAGACAAGATATAGCTCCCTAGATGAAGCATCAACTTCTAGACTCTTACAAATGTTACCATAAATCAGATGCTAGTTGCCATATGTATTGTGCGTGTTGGATCAGGTCTTGCTGGAAGCTTAGCTGATATTCCCCCCCCCCACCCTTAGCTTATTGGGTTGTTCTTGCAGACGATAAATCAATATCAAAACCAATGTTGAATCATTGACAACATAGTTTCCCATCAAGAATCTCCACCTCTGTGAAAGTGACTCTAGTCCTTACATCTCCTCTGATTAGAGTCCATGAATGATCAGAAACTCTAATGAATGCAATGTTGCATCAGTCATAGAAGACACGCACCACAACATAATTTGGGTCACTGGGTTTTGAGGAGGCCACTATATGTTTTATAAATTTGAGTACCAATATTCTTCAATTTTGAGAATCCATCCTCCAAACCCTGTTTCGGACAAGCATCTTTGTTAGTTCAATGAATATAATTATTAACTTATTATTTACCCTTCTACTCTTTTCTCCCACCCGATCATTTCAAAATTTGCGAGCATTAGAATCAAATCGAACACTTGAATATTGAATAATATGCGAAGAACTATGCAAATACATTTTTCTAACCTTAAAAAAAAGAAAAGAAAAGAAAAGGACCCCAAAAAAGCATTGATACAACAACAACAAATCATTAATTTCCTCACACCACATGCTCTCTCTTACATATTCAACCAATCAGCTTCCACAACACCCTCAGCCACGGAGGCCAAGAGTGACGCATTATCCTTGTTCGTCACAGAGCACTTAGCCCGAACCTCCCCTTGTGTACCAGTAAGCACACTGAGCTGACCCATCTTCAGCATAGCCTCCACGAACCTCTTTAGGAACAGGTTCTGGTCCACCGCGAAGCTCGTCACGATGCCCTTCTTCCTCTTATTTGTGTACAGATCCTGATCCGAGTTAAACAGTCCCTGCCGGTTCATCAGGTCGACGTAGTTCTTGTTGTCGAACAGGTTCGGGCTTCTGATGTCGAGCACGGTGGTGTTGTCGGTGGTCAAGATGCGGCACGTGCGCTTGAGGCTTCCGGCGAAGGTCTTGTCCATTGCAGGGTCCTGAGCAGGGTAGAGACGGTCGGCGAAGGAGGTGCAATGGCTGATGCCGATGGCGTGGCCGCCGGAGAGGGCGATGACGTCTGTGGGGCTGAGGTTCTCGGTGGCGAGAGAAGAGAGGATGGCATCGGTGCTGCTGGTGGGTGGCGGAAAGTTATCAAAGGTGACACTTCTGGAGGCAAAGGTCAGACCATCTCGTTGTCCGAAGGGAATGTCGTACTTTGGTCCTCCTGGCTGAGAAAATCAAGGAATAGAAGTGTTAGGTTTATCATGTAAAGAATGGAAATGGAAGATCAGATGAGACTTAGAAGACAGCATCACGAGTAGCAAGGGCAGTGATATCAGCACAGGAGACGACTCTTCCATAACGCTTGTGAACACCAGCTTTGAGGTTGATTATTTTACTGAATTTATTGATGTTTTTAATATAATTAAAAGTTATTTATTTAAATTTTTTAACAAAACTATTATTAAGTGAATGACTGTGTATGAAAATGTGATTGAAAGTTAGTAAACCAATTCTATTATTTATTCTAAATTTTATACATGTAGAGAAACCCAATTTATGAGCCTAAAGATAAAAATTTTAGAGCTCAAATCCAAGAAAATAAATTTAAAAAGAAAATTTGAACAGCAAAACATAATTTTAGTAAAACATATAATTTTGATCTTTAATAAATTTTTAGGGTTAGAGGACCTCATTTTCTACCAAACTTGACTTCCAATTGCTACTGAACATTTAGGGAGAACAAAAAGAGTCAAAAAAGGGGTTGGAGAAGCTTTGGTTTAGTGAAAATCAAGGATTTCACTTTAGATTACTCTAATTAAGCTTTTCTTCTCTTTCTTCTCTTTACTTTGCTATATATAATGCTATTTTTACTGTCATAGAGTCATGTGTAGTTGATTTTCTCTTAATTTAATGTAGCTATAAACTGATTATTAAATTAGAGCATGTTTGAACCATTTATTTGAGTTTAATATTAGTTTTATTTACTTAATCCTATACTTATTTGTCTACTCAATGCTTTACCACCATTGAAAATGAATTTGGGGGTTTAGGTTTTGTCTTAAAAAAGGAGAATTTGAATTTGACCATTAAATTGAGTAATATGGGATTAGAATTATTTTTAATTTGTCAATAAGATAGAAATATATCTATTAGACCCATATAATTAATTAGAGTGAGTTTGTGCCTTTTTGCCTATTGAATAATTGTGTTAAGAATAGCATATTAATTCAAGAGAAGGTTGTAATTAATAGAAAGATAATTATTTTCATTAATATTCTAGATTAACAAATTAATATTAAGTGAATTTATTTAAATAATTACATGTTATATGAATTGAAGAAGGGATATAGCTGTCCTAGGTTACCTTGTTTATTTGTGCTTGTTGGAATTTTTATTTTGCAATATCAAATCTAAATTTTTCCTTGCTCAACTTGAATGAAAATAAAAATTTTATTGTTTAATTATCAATTAACTTGATTTCTCTTGAGATTCACTTTAACTTGTCACTTGCTAATTTAATTTACAAACCGTATAATTGGGATAAAGCATATGTGTGTGTATCAGCGGTCTTCGATGATCTTGAAGGCTTAAGCCCTCAAGCTCTGATATGGGGGAGCATCCTTCTCACTTGGATCGCTCGCTGTTTCATCTAATATAGTATGGATCCATCGCAACCCTACATATGTATGTGTGCGCGCATTTCGCAATCATTCTCATGAAAATGATGAAAATCATGGAATGAGGACATGACAGTGTTGAAGTGACGTACCTGAACAAGGCCATCGTGGAAATGAAGGCGAAGCAAGCCAGCAGCTTGGCCCTATACCGTTTTGAAGCTCCTTTGTGATGATGATCCGAGGTGGGGGCAGTTTGATCCGTAGAAAGTCAATGACAATCCATTCACTATAGGAGGACTGGCTTTTCTTCTGTGACAGACACAAAACCAGCACAAGACAATACAAGAAGAACAAAAGTGCTTCTGATAGCAGCACAAGCCATGATTATTAATATGTACGTTGTTCTTTCTTATCTCTCTTCTATTTTCCACATAAACTGCCACGCTATTTATAGACTACAAAACACTGTCCGAATTGGATGATTGAAATACTGTTATGCGCTTCATTTATTTTTTTTTAATTCAATCATATTTTTATAACTTACACACTTCAATCCAAAATATAAACAATTTTTAAGAAAAATTTAAATATTAATAAAGTCTTCATTTATTATAAAAATATATTTTTTTACCTCTAGTCTCAATTATAAGTGCACTTCATGATAATTGAGAGATAAATTTATATAAGAATTTATATTAATAAATATAAGGAATAAAATGAAAAAAAAAATTGCATTATAAACTAAAATTATCTATGAAAAAATACTTACACTTTGGACAGGACTAAGTACTAGTTAAAAGAATAAGAATATTTTAAATTAAACATACACTTACACAAGATATGCCATCAAACTCGTCCTTCCGGCAAACTCGTCGTCGTCGTCGTCGTTGTTTTTGTTTGGGCCAGTGTCAAGATTAATTAATTATGCAACTTGCTTTATTGAACTCCAAAAAACAGCCTCCGTCATGAGACCCTTTTTTTTTTTTTGGGGCCAAGAAACTGTCATTACAGCTTTAATGGAACTAAGTTGTGTAACTTTTTGGCCCATTCTCGTCCGGACTCATGGTTGATAAATTAGTAAAACTAAACATTGCACTTGTAAAAAGCTTGAGCATGCAAGTTGATTAATTTTATAATCCTTCTTGCATTCCTGCATATTAGTTATGTTCTACAAAAGTTTGATGTTTCGATATATTATTCACATTGTATAAAAAGGTGGAAGGGTGTTAATTAGCATTTTTAAAAGGAAAAATAACAAATAAGAATCTTATAAGAATATTAATATCAAATTAAAAATTTTAATATTGAAACATGATAGAAGGGGTACTGAAATTTAAGAATATTAGTGTTGAAAAATTCTAATTTGATATTAATATTTTTATAAAGTCTTTATTTGTCATTCTCCCTTTTCAAAAATCACCTCTATTTGCAATCTCCTAGGATTTTTTTTTTTAAAAAAATTCATATACTCTATATCTTTGAATGAGGGTAAACTTGAAAGGTCATTTCATTCTTAGACCATTTTAATTATCTCTTTGTCATTCTAGTGAAATAGTTAGAAATATCTTACTCCCTCCAGTTCTAATTATATAACAAAGTTAAATAATTTTATCCTTCTCAAAGAATTATTGATAGTTAACATTGTTAAATTTGTAAAAATGTGTAACTTTTCAATTTTTCTTCTTAAATTTGTAATATATAAATTAAAAATTTGCCAATAAATTGTTGTATTTAAAGAGAGACAATATTAGAAAAATAACTATTACATCTTTATCGTATAATTAGGATCAGAGTGAGCATATATTTAGGATTGAGAGAGAGAGAGAGAGAGAGTATTAATTAAATTTATTTGAGAATAAACTTATGTGAGGAATACATCCGCTGAAAATTTCAAAACACGAGTGGCATGAAATTGTGGAAGTAGGGGAATGCACATGATTGATAATGAATGTTGAAGCATTGGAAGTATCGGTGGGAATTTACAGAGAGGTGAGAGAAGGAGACCACAAAGGCCAAATAGTCCACAATCAAACTTGGCGGCCAACATACGAGACTTTTTTGAATGCACCCTTATTATGGCTGCCTTCTCAGCTCCTATATTCAAACTTCTGCATGTGTCTTCACATTTGTCATGCTTTATACTAATTAATCCTCAAACGACAAATACTAATTATGTGTTCATGAACGTTCAAGTTGGCTCGCATGGATGTCAGGTCGAATATATCGTGAGTTGTTGGTAATCACTTTGAAAATTAATTAATTGGGGAAAATCAATTTGAGTAGTAATATTCCGTATGAGGGAATCCACTCCTCAACAATTATTTCAACAATCCTTAACACCTCATGCTTCATTGATGATGGAAAATACAATACCACTACGTGAATCTCACTTTAATTTATTAACATGCACCTATACTAGACTTTTGTTATTAATCATGATAGACATTCAACTAGCCGTTACAAGAAGCTCCATATGACGTACAAAATTGATTGTGTGTGTGTGTGTGTGTTTTGAGAAATTAATTTAAAGATAATTCTGGAAAAATGACGTAAAACCCGAGAGGAAAGTCATCATGAGTAGTTTGCACTGGCCATAAATATATAATCGTCAACTTTTATTATTATGTGAGCGGTATATTGGATTGTCCATTATTGACACTTAAAATCTAAACCTTGATTTATTTTTTCCTCGTTTGGATTGAAAACTACTATCCAAAGATTCCATGCTTGTGTGCCTTAATTTTAGTCTTCAATTTCACATTCTCATCTTGAATATAAAAGTTCCCTTTGAAATTTGAATGGTTCGCTGAGTTGAAAAATATGGCCATGTAATCTACCATGCATTAGATCTTATCTCATTCCTATATTTTCTAATCCATTTAATAAAAGCATTTTCCAACTTTGCATTTTTTGTCTCAATTGCTTAAATTAAAGCACCGAAACTTGTAATTCGAATATAGATAAACGTTAAATAGAAATGTATAATTGCTGGTAAAAAAAATAGAAATGTATAATTTAACAATTTAACGGAACTCCCAAATAAACTGAACTAAGTCAAGTCCAGGACTCAAATTAATTAATATTAGTAGTTGGTTTGTTCCCAGGGTTAATATATAATTTTAACCTTAAATTATAGGTCTATGAGTGATTTGAACTTAAAATTTTTAAAAGCTACATTTTAAATTTTAAATAATTAAAGTTAAAAAAATTTCACCCCCATTATTAAATTTGAACAAATGTACATCATTTAAAAAAAAAAATGGGACCTAATGTACTATTTTTCTCAAATCAAAATAAGAGAAAGAGGGACAATGTAATTTGATAAAAATCACACATCAAACCTTGAAATTATTTTAATTTTAATTATTTATAGTTCAGAATATACTTTTTAAAAATTTATGATTCAAATTGCCTTGCAATAGTTTAACATTCAAACTACATATTAATCCTTGTTTTTATAATAAACAGGACATTAGAAGTAAGGAATATAATATTTATCTCATAAAAAAGAATTTGCACATTGCAAAATGAATTCCCATCTTTTTAATATTGAGGGTATTGTTTTATTCCGAGGGGAAAGGACCAAATGAAGAGAAAAATGGACTTTTTATTTGCCGAACAACTTTGATGAACATGACACAGAATAGATTGGATCAAGACAAGTGCAAGATTGATGACAAGACAAGTTAATTAATTTGCTGTGGTTTATTAGATGAACCAGAGTTCAGTTTCAATTTATAATGCTGAGAAATTGGCATGAGGCAATAAAGTTCTCTGTACTCTTACTAAGAAGAAAACACATGCATGTAATTACAATTGAGTTTCTAGTTAAACTAAATATAGAATGTGGAAGTCACTTTCTCACTTGATTGAACGGTCAACTTAAAAACAAGATGAGGCGACATGTAGGCGCTCACCTATTCTTTTAAAATGAAGGGTGGTTCAAATCATAAATGAAGTTATTTGCATCACGACAACTGCGTCAATTCAATGCATCCACCTCACCTGTCTTTCTCTTTCACATCCTCACCACTTTAATTCTAATATATTATTTATATTTTTTATTAAAAATATGTTTTCACTCTTATTTATAACCTATTTTTAATTTTAATATGTTTTATCAAAATAAAAAAAATTAAAATTCATTAATTTCATTTACAAATTTAATAATTTTTAATTTTAATTTGTCCCTATACTTTGATAAGGGACATTCTCTCATTAAGAATCAAATAAAAAATTTGTGGTTAAAATTTCATAGCATGTCTTATTTAGACAAAAAAAAAATCTTGAATGGGGAATAATCAATACTTTTCCTTAAAAATATCAGCAATATAATGATATTCTTTATTTTATAGAATAAATCATATTATTTAACATTTTACATCAATACTAGTTTAAGTCCTGTGCATTTTATTGATGAAGTTTAATATTCTATCTGTTGCTATTATGGTATGGTATTTTTTAGAATAATTATTTGGCCCTCAATGTAACATAAAGCATAAACTTGATAAGATATTAATTATATTTTTTTCAGAATTATTCTTATCTAAACTCACTAACTATAAAAATAATGTAATGTAATTTTGATTTTTTAAATAAATATAAAATTATAAATTTATTCTATTTTCAAACACACACATGTATAAGAACAAGAAAGTATGTGTGTGTAACCGTCGGCCAAATATATATGTATATATATAGAATCTACTCCACAATGTTCAACTTTTATGTAATATAATTTATTAAAAAAATATAGTATATATTGACATTGATTGCTACTATACTATATTTGATATTAAGTTTGACGAAAAAAAAGTATTTGAATAATATATACGAGCACTTTATTAAAGATAACAAATTAGGTGGCTGATGTGATTTGAAACTTTTTATAGAAAACTTGGAAAAGAAAATCTAAGTTGGCACCGGGCGGCACCTTTATTACAAAACGACGAGAATCATTATGTCATGGGTAAAGCTGAATTATCTACACCATGGCAAACTGGAAACTTATTAACGATTGAACAAACATTTAAATTTTCTCCGTATTAAATTTTTCAAATATATATATATATATATATTATTTTATGATCATCTTTTTTTATTGTATTTCTGTTTAGGATGCGGCGTCGTCATCCCTTATCCTTGAAGATCTGTCTTCTTAACCTTCTTATAAAAAATAAAATAAAATAAAAAATATTGGTGCTTTTCAGATTCAACATTCAATTGCATTATGAAAGCCCAAACGTAGGGGCTCAAGCCTGGAAATTTTAAGAATCCAAATTAAATTTAAAAAATTATCAAAACTAAATTAAAAAAAAAGAAAAAAAATTGGTGAAGAGGATCTTATTAGAAGGAAAATTAATCTCAAGGATTAAATGCAATTGAAGGATCAAGATTAATATTTTATTCATTAAATAATTTACACAAATGGCCAAAATACCCCTCTCTTTAGATCAATGAAATTGAGAAAAATAAAAAAATAAAGACTTCTTGTTCAATACATGCATCCCAAAACAAAAACTTTACATCCCAAGTCAAAAGCCTTGCATCTCAGTTAGGTGCAAGGCTTTTGACTTAGAGTATATGTGTTAAACAAGCAGCTTTTATTTTTTTTTTTCAATTTCTTTGATTTTAAAGAAAAGGGTATTTCAATTATTTATTCGAATTGTTTAATGGAAAATATATTAGCTTTGGTTCTTCAAATGATATTTGATTCTTGGGATTAATTTTTCTTTTAACAAGGTCCTTTTTACCATTTTTTTTAAATTAGCCAAATTTAATAATATCAAATTAAAACACCAAGTTTGAAAAAACGACTTCTGTGGTTAGCAGCTTGGAAATTACGAGACTTATGATATACTATATATAAATGATCCCTCCAAATTAAAATACAAGTCATTATTAAGCGTTAACTAATTTACTTTTCTTAAAAAAATTGATTAAAATCTGAATTTTTTTAAAATTTCTTACACCTTTCTGTCATGCCTTTCAATGTAATAAATATAATATTTAACTTATTTAAAACACACTCATTAACTACTTAATAAAATAAAGGTATAATAAAAAAATTATATATATAACACCTATCTAATATCTTACATTTTGGATCAAATAAAAATTATACAAAATGATGTCTATTATGGTCCGGAAGAAGTATATTATATATATATATGTGGCCTAAATTATGTTATAGTGAGGGTACGTTGGTGTATATAATAATTGATAATTGATTTAAGATCAAGATGTGCTCTGCACTTGCAAGGCTCAAATCCACAAAATAGGACTTCTTTCTACTTATTACAACACTACACATCTCAAGGCAGGGTCGCCACACAACAATAGCAAGAAGCGTCAAGCGTGTATCAGGGCAAGAGTTGGGATCCTCCTAAACCTTCCACAAATTATTATCCAAGCCATCAAACTCCGTACAAGTGTCTGAGATCCCACTCTTCTGATACATAAAACAAAGCGTTAAAAGGATTAAAACGTAGTACCGCAACATATCCATGGCTTAGCCCATCTAAAACCGTTCAGCCACTTCAACCATCTCTTCCACCACGGAAGCCAACACAGACTTCTTCCCACTGTTCCTCAGATTACACTTGGCTCTGATCTCCCCTTGCTTCCCCGTCAAGACCCTCAGCTGACTCATCTTTGTCATCGCGTTGCTGAACTTCTCGAAGAACAACTTCTGGTCCAGCGCAAAACTCTGCACCAACTTCTTCGTCCGGGCATCGGAAAACAGGTCCTGATCCGACGTGAACAGTCCCTGCCGGTTCATCAGGTCGATGTAGTACTTGTTGTCGAACTGGTTGGGAGTTCGGATGTCCAGGTTTGCGGTGTTTGGCGAGGACGCGCTGGGACAGGTGGCCTTGAGGTTCTTCAGGAGGGTCTGGTCGATGGGAGCCGGGCTCGTGCCGGAGACGCGGTCTGAGAAGGAGCTGCAGTGGGCCCGGCCGAAGGTGTGGGCGCCGGAGAGGGCGACCACGTCGGTGACGTCAAACTTCTGGTCGGCGAAGGTCTTGATGGTGCCGGTGGTGTTGGCGAAGGGAGACGGGAGGTTGCTGGTCTCGTCGAAGTTTAAGGTCAGGCTGTCTCGTCTTCCGAGAGGGACGGGGAAGTTTGGCCCTCCTGTCTGCCATTATTGCCGCAGAATGAGAAAGCATTAGCGCAGAAGATTAAGAACAGAGAAATGAATAGCTTTGATTAGAAACGTAAATACAATCATGAAAGTAATTACCAGGACAACAGCATCACGTCCGGCGAGAGCGACGATATCAGAGCAGGAGACAACTGATCCACATTTCTGGTGGACGAGAGCTCTGATATCGTCGATAGTCTGCAATGCCTCCGTCCTAATGCCGCCGTTGGATCTGGAGTCTCTCTCGCTCTGATTGCTTGGCGGAATCGCGTCCAGCAATATGGACCCATCACAACCCTGCATCATAAACACATCAACACACAGCAATCAACAACTTTTGTCGCTCACTTACAAGGCAAACAAGGAAGATCAGTTGAAGGGACTTAGAAACGGAATGAAAGAAAAAAGTGAGAACAATTGACAAGAGAAAACCAAGTTGCAGGAAGCTTATATATACCTGGACGAAGCAATCGTGGAAGAGGATGCGAAGCAGGGCAGGGGCTTGGCCGGTGTCCTTCTGGAAGACAGATTGGAGATGGTCTGTGACGATGGATTCGAGAGTGGGGCAGGTAGAATCGTAGAAGGTCCAAGAGAGGCCCTTGACGATGGGAGGCTTGGACTGTGCCTGGATGGCTCGGAAGTGAGAGGCCAGAACAAGGGAAGAGAACAAGAGCAAAGAGAAAAGGCAGGAGTTAGCCATGTTTTACTTTTCTCTCTGTGAGTTGAGCACTCTTCCCACTGGTAACAGAGCCTTTTATAGAGTGTAATAAGTGGCCTAGCTAGTCGCCTTTGTCCACTTCTTTCTGCAATCCCTTAATTTAGAGCCGCCATGTAATTAACTAATTATATACTCACATTTTTAATAAAATTTTACTCTTTAATAAAATAATTATTTATTTTTAAATTAATATTATTTTATATACTTATTTTTATTTAATAAAATATTTCATATAAAATAAGTATAAAATAATTTATTTATTAAATTATTTTAAAAAATAATTATTATATTTTAAAATATTAAAAATATATTTAATATTTAATTTTTATAAAAATATTTTACATTTTTAAGTAAAATGAGCACATAATTCCTCACTTTTTATCATAAAATGCATTTTAAATTATAAGGAGACTTTATGTTTCACTGTGGTAATGATAAACTTTTTTAATAATTTTTTTAATATTACATGCTTTTATTTTATTCTCTTTAATTTTTTATTAATGTAATACTAAATAAAATATATTTTTAGAATTTTATAATTTTATTTTTAAAAAATAAAGTTATAAAATATATTTAATAAATTTTATTAATATATAATATATAATATTATCTAAAAGTGTCTTATTAATTAAAATATTAACAGTATTTTTGGATAAATTAAAAATTACTTGAATTTGTTTGTCAAAAAAATTCAGATATTATAATTATAGCCCTATTTATTTTTATTCTTTGTGAAACAGAAAATACAATCTTAACCCAAGTCACGAAACTATTATTAAAATTTTAAAAACAAAATCATTTCATCCGTTAACACAACTTCATATAAATTCATTATTTAACCTAGTAGCTAGATTATCAAGAAAGGAGACCTGGGGGATGTGTTGGCGTAATTCACTAACGCTTATCAGCGATATTTTCGTTCCATTATTCTCAACTCCAGAGCATCATCTGATCATCTAACAATTTTAATAACTAATTTAATTAAGCATTGAAAATACTTAATAATTATATGTACATATTCTCTTCCGTCCTTATTATGATATATTTTTATTCGTTTCATATATTTTAAAAATTTTAATTTTTTTATATTATAAAAAAGTGATATGTACTTTCATTTTTATCATTAGTTTGGAATAATAATATAACTATATTAAATATTTTCATACAAATAAGATTAACAAAAGTATTTTAATTATTATAAAGTGTCCTATATTTTAAAAAAAATTAACTCATTGGCCTCAAAAATATAGCTCTCATAAATTATGAATGAAATTTTTGAATATTTTAAAATATGACCCATTCATAAAATTAATTAAATATATTTTACTTTTTTTATCTTTATATTAAATTTATTATTAAAGCACAATATATCTATTGTAATTAATCCTTAATTGACTGAATTTTTTTTCTCTGAATCATTCCTTTTTTTTTTCTTTGAACATAAAATTACCAGTGTCTTTCTTCATCGCAAAACTTTTCTTCTTTCTCCCTCTTTGTTTTTTCTAAGAACACTATGAAGAAGACATTAGATATTGAAAATGAATTTTCATTTCTAGAAGCAAAAGATTAGGCTATAATCTATTATCTATTATTAGATTTTTACCATCTTCACATCTCTCAGTAACATCAAATTTTTTTATAAATTATGTTTGATTCATTTTGAACAAATGATTGTGTATTTTTCATGTTACTGATTTGCGATACTACATCATTGATATACGTGTATATATCAATGATAAATAAATTTATATTTGATTATTTAGTTACGTTGATATGTGATAGTATATTAGTGATATACAGCAGTATATCAATAATATAATATCATGAATCAGTAACATAAAAAACATATAATCATTTGTCATCAAATACATTCCATAAAAATTTTTGGAGACACTTAGTTTGTCACAAAAAATTAAATACTTAAACTAATAAAATAAAAAAATTATTAGTTTGTGGCTGTATTTCTTAGCCGATGTGCTTTATTCTGTCAAGTACTGTTAATGTAACTCACCTCACATTTGTCTCTTCTCTCTCTCATTCATCTCTCTTATTCTAAAAATTTCTTGCATTTTAAATCTTTTGGTACTTGTAAAAAGCAAATATGAAAAGAATATTTTTATAAGTTAATTATAAAGTAAATATTAAAAAGGTTATTTTTTAAATTTAAGGAAGAATGAGCTATTTTTTTTACTTGGTATGCGCTGTGTGTGCAAAAGCTTCTATTTTAGAATGAGAGAGAATATATTATATGCTGTGCGTGATCTTAACTATAGCAGTTGGTCTAAAATCCTTCAAATATGAAAATATGAGAAACATATTTTTTAAAAGCTTCTCTTATTTTGATGTGTGCATGGTTATGTTATTACAATTAGGACAAAAACAACATGAACTATTGGTTTTTTTTTTTTTAATTAAGCAATAGTATATATCGAATACCATTTGTTAATTGTACGGGATAAGTTGATGTTGAACATAACTATAAAACTTGATTATCCAATTACTATAATAATAATGATTATACTTAAATCAGTGTAGTGTCCATGTCTACATCATCAATATCTCAGATATCATCATCGATATCTTCGTTCTTTTTCCAAAAATGTTGAACACGCCCACCCACGCCCAATATTTGTGATTAAACATGACAGACTAGTGGGTTTGCCCATTGCTAGGCGAATAATTGCAGAGATTAGTGATTGAATATATTACTATGCAAAATAACCCACTTCATGCGACAAGTTGCAAAGCCACGTGGTAACTTGAGGGCCACACATTTAATGAGTACTTTTTACATTTTATTTTATAAAATATTTTTAAACAAAATCACATATACCTAAAAAATTTATTAAATTCATTTTTATAACTTTATTTTTTAAAATCAAAATATTAATTTTAAAAAATGTACGTAATACTCTGTTTGTAAAAGAGTAAGAAGCAATATTGAAGAGAAAATAAAATAAAAAGAATAATATTAAAAATATATCATTAATAAAATTTTATTATTATTAAATTATTTTATATTTTAAATTTATGAACCACCTCTAAAATTATCCTATAAACAAGGACAGATAGAGTATAAGATATAATAGTTTAAAAAAAATTAGTTTGATGCCAAATATAAAATATCAATCGTCGTTGTTTCTCTTCCATTCAATAGTTGTCCTCATTAATAAAATAGGAATATTTTAAAAAAGGAGTGCATATTTTTCACACAATAACAGTAAAAAATTAAGTTAATAAATTTTTAATATATATATATATAAACTAATTAACTAGATGTTATTTTTAGAATCACACGGAATGATCCGACTTTAAATTTCAAAAGCCCCACCTACTCCTTTTTTTTTTTTTTTTTTAACATTCCTGTCGCAAACCGAGGTCGAGGGCACACAAAGAAAGACTCTCGACTTATAAATTCCAAAAAAAGAAAAAAGTAGTCAAAGTTTATAAATGAAACAAATCTTTGTTTAAATAGAGACTAATTTAATTTAATTTAATGCACTGCTTTATATATGTATATATATATATTTGATAATTGGCAGAGAGCTAGCCCTGTTAAAGTTTAGCACATTGATTTTTCTCCCGATATATTGAATTTTGGTATAATCACGTGTTTAAAAATGTCATGTGGGCAGCACACTTCCATGAAACTTTTGGGAAAGTTGATATACACTCTGGTGATTGATCCTGTCCCTTTTTATCAGTTTTCAAGAAACATATCTGATTCGGATTGAAGTATTTGAACTAAAAATATTTACATATTGATTGGCTGATTCAATGTCCTTAAAACATTTTAAAAATACTAGCAAATAAACTGTAATGACTTAGCAGTACGAGCACAATTAAAAATGCCTTGTGGAAGTCACTTTCACTTGATTAGATGGTCAACTTAAACAAAAAATCAAAACAAAAAAGAGGTGGCATGGAGTTCTATTCATAATTGTGAAATAGAAGACTGGTTCAAATCATAAAGGGAAAATGACAATCAAATCTCAAAAGATTAATTTTATATTAATTAAGTCCTAACTAATTTTAAAAAGCCAATCAAGTTCCATGCTGTTTTTTCCCAATCAGAATTACAAAAGAAATGACGAAAATGCCCCTATGAGTAAATATAACATGTACACTCATTAGCTCCAACATTTTACTCCCAATTTATCTCTCTCCCGCCATTGATGAGAGCTACATGGAAGTGGTGGAGCTGTACGTTGAAGAATACCCATTCTTGAAATATAGTTATGCTTGGAAGAAGTGAGTTGCCTTAATTATTGACTCAAGGAAGCTTAAGGAGTTGTGCTGGTACGTGCAGACAGTTTTTTTTTTTTTTTGCAAATCCTTGCATCTAAATAAAAAGGTTTACTCCATGAAGGTTTGATTTCTTGCAAAATGGCTTTCATAAGAAAAAAGATGGAATGGTTTTTTGCAACTGAACATGAAAGATTTTTTTTTATTTCACGTTTCTAAATATTTGGCATAAAGATTCGACATTTTGCAACTGAAAGTGTAAGAAATTACTATCAAGTGTCCATATTTTAAGATAGAACGCTGTCACTGTTTAACTGATGCGAAAATCACTTATATCAAAAGTAACTTGTTTCTAAGTGATATATTATTACATTTTATTTTGTTTCTTGTAGGTTGATATTATTGGGTACGATAGAAAGTAGTTGTTTAAAAAAAAAATTTTGTTATTTTCATTTTAGTGGATATATTGTAAAAGATATGCATAAGACAATGCATTATGATGGGGGGAGTTGTAATGGAAGAATGATTAGAGAAAAAATGTTTCTTGAAGGACTTGTTAGATTAATTTCATCATGCTTGAATTGTGATTTAAATGGAATAGAGTTGAAGTACACAGTCAAGTTTGATTGCAATGCTCTTTTAGACCTTAAAGATAATGAAGGGATAAATCAATTAATGAAATTGAATGATAATTTTGCTCATGTATACATCATTGGGAAGATATAGCAAAGTATAGAGGCAACAAGAGATTCAATTGATGGGTAAGTTTTTTTA